TGATCGCCTCCACGAAGCTTGGAACCCGACCTCTCCTGTCTACACTTGGGCAACCTGGCATTAACACATCGCTCGTGCTTACTCCCGTTGGCATAACAGCTAGGCACCGAAAAAGCGTTACAGCTGAGCGACTATTTCATTATTTTGTAGCTCGGAACATGCGATTTCCAGAACCCAATTGGAGAAGTCGCTCTTTGCTATCCGCGCACTGCGTATCGGCCTCAAGTCCACTATTTATGTATGCCTTCTACAGGCGCTGTAGTTGAATTTCAGCTTTCATACCAACTACCATGATATTTATATGCGTTTTTACATTTATGAGGCCTAAGGTGTTTGTACTTTTATTTTGCTTTCATTATACCACTACGTAGTTCGTAAATTGCATAATTGTTTTTTGTTTGAATACGAAAAACCACAAAAACGCGCAATTGCACAATTTGACAGAACACAAACGTGGTCACGTGCTTCGACTCTCTTCTGATTTCTCTCGCACTTGCAGCGGTCATTCGTGAGTCTCATGTGGTAGCTCTGGTATCAAAATATTTCAGACCATCTTCGGAATCTATTATATATGGAAACTGTTCAGAAGAAGACCCCTGGACAACCATAATTGGATTACTGTTTATTCGCTGACCTGGGCCAACGACGAACTATTTTGAAGAGAAAAATTATTAGTGAGTCTGTTCCATCTAGCCTCTTTATTATTGTATACCGGATCTAGCGTTATTTTTATTTCTTGCCACACACTCCTGGTAAAGTAATTTATTGGGTATCCAGACCACTACAGATTTCAACAAACTCATTTCTGTCAAACTGGGCACTATAGTCTGCCTAGCTCAATGCTGACACGGCAAACAAGCATTGTTCATTGCATCGACCCGCAGTAATCTCGATTAAATCATACAACCATATAGCCTAATGATGACTATCAACTGGCCATGCCAGAGATTATTATTATTTATTATATTATTATTATTTCGGCTTATCTTACTGAACACCCTTTGAGAAAAGATTAGTGGCTAGGGGACTGACAGACAGATTGACCGCAGTGCATTATCTAGTGAGTGAGGAGGGGATATGCTACAGTGCCAGTGAGCCAAGTGCCCAAAGGATGACTGATACCTTCAAGCTGTCCAGGCTTAGGAAAGATACCTAACTCCGAGCCTTTGAATTAAGCGCCTAACTTGCAAAGAATCTGGTGATAGGCTATTCTAGGGAATCCTGTCAGGATCACACGACTCCTAACTCTGACCCGCTGGAGTATAAGGTACTGGTCTAGCCCGAAGGTAGAACATACATGCCTCACCTAAAATGCTGCTCCTAAAGAAAGATATATTTGGAATTGCATCAAGTGGTTGATGGGCTGTGGCTCATCAGCCACTGGTCGCGGTCAATCGCCAGGATGAAGAACCTTAGTATCATTAAAATATCATCGCAGGAGATAGCACTAATTTTCCTCCAAAGCGCCTGGGAGTAGTGTTAGTCGTAATAATCTGGATTGCTACTTTTTTTATCCGGCCACTGTCCTTTGGTGTCACACTTGTGGAACAGGGTTCTGGGCAACGTACCATGATGGACCATTCCATCACCCTAACCTGGTTGCCACGGCGAACTGACAACTTTCGGTCGCACATGTGCGGAACGGCAGTTCAGAGCTGTTTAACACTTGATCCTTTAACAGAAGAGTTCTTGCGTGTTGCTCACAGGTTTTTCTTATGGGAATGCCACAATAAAGACAAGTGCATCTTCGAGACAAGACATGAAGTCTTTCATATTGATAACGATACATGAATGAAGAGCGTGGAATCAGTAATTACCTGAATGTTTCGTTGCCATCTTTACAAGTCAACGTTGGCTTATAGATTCCTGTATTCAACGGTCCGAAACAAACAGCATATTAAACAGTAAACCCACTGGAGAACGTTGATGCTTGGCTGATTAAGGTGATCGCTTTGCAAAAGAGCAATTTTCGAGCAGGCGGGCCAAATAGATCTGGATTTTGCAACGGACTTGGAATGGATTTGCATGAGCCAACCCGCATTGGAAAATTTCGCTGCCGTATTGACTGGATCGCTTGGACTGGCGTCACCTGACGCAACTGAAAAGCCCAAACAACTGAATGTTCGGTTTGTGACGGTTGGTCAAAAACCCAGTCAGTAGCCACAGATTCGACAAAGCAACTAAGGGCCATCTGAAAGTATTCATTCGTAATTAATGGCAAGGAGAACTTCACAACGGTTTAAATAAATAGGTAACTAAGAACGCCAGAAAGTAGACGACTTAATGAAAACAACAAACGAGAGGCAACTTAGTGGACAAATTTTGTTTTCTGTGAATGTTTTTTAGATATTACATCGCAAACTTGCATGATGAGAGAAATGGTAAGATAATATTTGATGAAAGAAAAAGAAGGAAAAGGGAGTTGGATTGGAAGTACATAGGCAAGTAGGTCACTAAATTAGCTGTGCGATCGTAATGCCAAGCAGCTTTACGGAACCAGATAGTTAGACAGCCAGCTCAAATTTAGAGTTTACGCAAGTTATTTGGGCGCTGAGTTGTGAGTTACGCAGTCAGAATAAATATACATCAATAGGATTTGGAGATCATAAAAGTCATCCGACCTGAGCGGCATGGAATGGGTTCTATTCATCGACACTGAGCTCATGAGTTTTCCCACGAAGTAAATCTGTTGCTATCCAATAAAGCTTTTGTGCTATTTATTACATCTTGCTCTAATCGCCTTGTTTTCCTTGCAGTTCTGAGAAGTGCAGCAATACTGCACAAACGCAAAGCGTACAACAGCTTCAGTCAACGCCAGTGGTCGAAAAAATTGCCTAATCAACCTCTAGTAGTATTTCGAAAGTACAAAATATCTGGCGTAATTTGCACAGGCTCAACTCCAGGCATTTGTCGTGGGTCAAACTGTTGTGCATATTCATTCAAAGAACACGAGCAAGAGTGACTATGACTAAACGGAACTTTACGCATAGTTCAATAGGAGTTGAAAAAATTTATCGGTTTCTATGACAGTTACGTAAAAAGCACAAGCATCCTATACCACTTAGACGGTTGACAGCTGCTTGCTCCTAAAAAGACACGCTCAATTCAGTTCGAAACGTGGAGTAGTGGATTCTCAGTACTATCAAGCTGTTTGCAGTAAACTGCGCAGCTGTGTGATGGTATCACCTTAGCTCAATAAACCATTGACTTCCTTTCTCCGAAATCCCATATCTTGGTGCAAAATCAGAGTAGATAACGTAGATAACAGGCGCCAAATCGATTTATCTGTAGAATTAGTTAACGAATTATAGAAACCATCAGTGTGCTAGAAAACATTTCAAAATCGCTGCGTTTACTGACAGTTTGGAATGCGGCTGGGTACATATGGGTCGCCCGGTCACATTTGTCGGAAAGACGAGATGTACGAATACCTTCTCTGTTACCTCCTTTAAAGGGGATGGGCACCAAGTATCAACTGCACTTCGTAACCAAATTAATCATAATAGAACACCCCACTGCCCTGAAGAAAATAGAGATTTCCCACTTGTGTGTCTCCATGGGGCGTCGTGACCGATCTGGTGGCAGGATAGTTCATGCAGTCCACACCTTACTGCTTTCGACGGTGTACAGCACACCTGTCCGGAGTGATCGCTGATGGGACCGGTCAAACTGGTCATTATGAGAAGAAACAGACTTGGTAGATACCTTATTTTCTAGAAATGCAACATGTTAAAGCGTCAATGGATAACCTACTAAGCAAGCATAATTGCGATGACAGACAATGAGTGTTGGTCCAAAGGATTGGTTAAAAATTGTGGCGAGAGACAAGAATTTTCGACAGCTCATTGCTTCGAGGGCACTTATGATACACGGGACGTTTGTGGTTTCAGTTCACTCGAACTCGTGTCCTTTTGCTTACACTCATTCCAATTTTCAATGGTTTCCAACAGTCTGCTACACGCTGTGCCTAACCCTTCGCCAGTCATATCAGTTTCACTATTTGTAAACAGTGCATCATCTTGTGCCCTCCGAATTTTATTCTCAGATTTTGAATGTTTAAGTCCCTTAACTGGTACACAAACTTCCCTGTTAAATATAATTTTTACGAGAAGGGTTATTACTTACTAAGAATTTCGTTTGCTTTCACCTAAGCTTTCCAAAACCGTCGACGCAGCGAACAGATCTGATAAGTGCTAATAAAGATTGCTACTCGCTTCGTTTTACGTCACTGTCTAACTAAAATCCATCTGACTGAGGAGAGCACACGGAAATGGATGTGGTTATTACTGCGCCAGCATTACCGGGACGATACCAGTGAAAGGAATAAGGCATTCGCTGCGGAGTTATTTATTCGGAAATGCCAACTGACCGGTTACAGGCCATTGAACAGGGAAGCAAAACTCTAATCTGCATCTTAGTTACAAAAACTGGACACCGATCTTCTCCCGAACGAGTCCTCTTGAACTTTCCCGGAGATTCATTGACTCCACTCATTCGTCGGTCAAATCCAAGCAAATGTTACAAAGTGGCTCCACGAATTCCGCAACAGATCTCCCTTTATCAATACACGCAAAGTTAAATTCTACGAACAACGCATACTACTCGCGTGCCTTCCCGTCAGTAGTATCACCGTTACACCAGTAATACTAGGTGTAATGGTGTGTACTACTGAGCAGGCATGCAAGTAGTCTATAGTTGGTGTGCAAGCTCCGCTCCGCATCCGACAGGAGGCGAAGTTTATTACGGAAACTGTGCGATATTCGTTTACTATTGCGTAATAGTCAATAAATATTCAAGAAAGTTCAAGGGGATGCGCGAGAACGATCGGTGTTTGGGGACCATGTATATGAAAGAATTTTACTTTACTTACTTTACTTGTAACTGCTTAGATCGTGTTTGCTAATACATGGCTTCACAGCGAAGGACTGGCAGATATATCAGCCGACCAAAAGTCTGCTAAGCCGAAGAACCCAAAAAAGTCATTCTCAAAAGGAATGGACGCGACGAGCATCTATTCACTGTTTATTGAAAACACCATCAACCGAAGACTATAAGGTATGAGAATACACTGCATCTTTGGAAGGAAGAACTTGAAAACAGATAACTCAGATTATTGTGTATAAGAGAGAGAAGAGGATGTCAAATAGATCTTCATGGTTCCTCGCAGAACATATGAAATATCTGTGCATTAGGATTGACGTCACCGTGACAGTCCCATGAGAAGGCGCTTCGGGAAAACTTGAGGCAGTGAAATAAAGCGGGCAAAGTGTTTCAATTCTTCTGGACAGAAAGACAGATTTCGGCACACACGCAAACAGATGAACTACAGTTGCATGCTATGAAAAACCCGTTATCACTGAGACTACGTGTATAAACTGAAGGAGTAGGTTAAAATGATGATTCGGATAGAGGGGGAATGGTGGGGAGTTTTTTGAAAAAAGGGTAGGGTTCTTGAATACCGAGCAAAATAAGTGAACTTGAAGTGGATCCAGGGAAAGGCAGCTTCAGCCTCACCTGTCTCCGAGCAGTTGTTGCATCTGAAAGACAAGGCTCCGTGCAATGTCAAGTAGAATCCTTACGTCGTGCTGCTCGGTCAACTCTGGAACGAATACGAAATACCCGTATTGAATAAAACAAGGTAGACAGATAGAACATAGTTATGTAAAATATACATGATATACACGAGCCGGGGTGCGCCTTGATTGCTGACGAGTTCTGGAGAAAGATACCTGTACACGATACTCCGCGATAAGGTTAGGTGCAAAGTACTGATTCATTAAATACCTCAAGTATGGAACCATTTAGTGTCTCACTTCTAAAGAGCAAAAGACCTCGGAACTGGTTACAACTACAATACCGGAATGGCGTTTTCTTGAGAGCACAAGTTTATACTATCTACATTAAAAATACTCAAACCTAGCTTTCAAAATACTAGTGGGGAAAAATCGAAACGCTTTCAGCACTTTGCAGGGAGTGTCAGCAATCGACGATAATTGTGTTGCATCAGTACGTTACCGCTCGGTAGGAATAGCTCTCAAATGGTGCCAATAACGCTAGAATCCTGCTCTTTGGACAAGGGTACACAACTTTCCACTGCGACCAAATCCATCGGTTTTATGACCAGTTTTCTTTCTTATATGCCTATGATATTTCGTAGCCTATCAATCACAGACAGAAGCCGCATTGCGTCCTTTTGAGCGGGAGCAAGCACTGAGCCTGATAAACATTGCCCAAAAGTCGAAAAAGTTGGTGGATGGACCCGGCTTATTCAATCTTGACAACTATGGGTCACTTACATATTCCTCATCGCAAACGTACTGGATGGGTGTTGCTGTATTGAGGTAGCCTATAGACCATTTAGGTTGGACTGGCATACATATTGTTCATGAATTGCGCACTAGTCAGCAGCTGATAGTTTGTAGAAGAGAACCTTCGTTACACAACTAACATGCCTTCAATCATGGAACCAGTGGCATTACCCAATGTGGGAAACAGTCAGCTGTCAATCAGTCAATAGTTTCACTCTCTAAACAACCAAATAGTGTTAGGCCTTGCTGTAAAGTGGTGACTACAAGGTTAGAAAATCAACACCAAAGCAAACGATTCGTATGTGTTCGGAGGCACGCTTCTTGGGTCATATCATTTATGGCGAATGGACGCCCTATTTGATACTTTTGCTGCTTTGGATTGTGTTCTTCCTTTGAGGTGAAAACACTGAGGTGTGGTAACACTGTGTCCCTCTAGTTCAGCTACTGCGTCAGACTGAATTGACGAAATACTTAAGAACGGCTCTCTCCAAAAGATGCCAGGCGTGCTTACACTCAGTGAGGTCTTTTACGATATTCTTTACCTAAGGCAAACGTTAGTACACAATGTGTAAACAAGAGTAAAACTAATAGTCCTTTACAAATAAGACAACAAAGCGAATTGTTTCTCTGTTCTGATTATGCCTAAGAACATTGACATCACATTTCCCTATACAATAAAACCGCCAACTAGTGTGATTGTCGGTAATTTCTCAATAAACCTCCCTCGATTTCAACACACCTGTTTGCTTCCATTTTTCCCTTTCTAAAGCTGGGTACAATGATTATGCACACAATCATCTTACAGCTTTGTTTACTTCGAGCTGATTATTACTGCATCCGGGTGGAGAATTCCATTGTGTTCTGCTGATGTGCAAAATGGCAGGTTTGAAAGACTAAAACAACCTCTGGATGGTCCGTTTAATAGCGGTCGGTCTAGGTTAAAAGACACTGTAGAGTTTCAGAACATGCTAATCGTAGATGAACAGAGCTGTCTTCTAATGTGTCAAAAATGATAGATCATTGATGCTGGGCGAGGGACACCTTGAGACAAAATTCACCTGGATAGTCAGTCAACGTGAAGAAGTAGGAATTTAGTCGATGAACGGTCCAGAGAGGTGTCAATGCACTACGAACGCAAAAAGCTCACTGCAACCTCGAACCGTTTACTTTGGTTCAAAGGACTGTTTTGATGCTCGATTCATCAACTGCCATTAGGAGTTATATGCTGTGTCCTAAATTATTCTCAGAGTCCCGTAACATTCCGATTGACCCGGTTTCAATTTAAAAGTGACTTATCTAAGCCATTAGGATGCCAACTCAGCTACAGTCCGCTACCTAAACAATACGCATAGTTATGCGGTTACGTGAAACACTATTGCAAAGAAGGATATATCTAGCGAATATACACTCATTTGCAATCTGATTTGGTTTTCCGAGAGACTCACCTGGAACCCAGCTGGATCTCACAGTTTGATGTTTCCAGGCAACTGAATGTGCTGTACCAGGCCGCCTCATGTTTCAGTCGCTACGATATTCGAGATATCGCAATACGAGTATATATTCAATGCACTACTCATAAGGTTGCTGAAAATTGTTCGACAGCCCACGACTGGTTTCGCCCTTCTTGGGACTCATCAGGTAGGCGCAGTCCCCGAGTTTCCGTCAACCTTATGTTCTACTTGAAACCAAATTGCACGGAATTAGCGAATATACACTCACTTACATTACAAAATATATATGTATCACGATATCTCGAATATCGTAGCGACTGAAACATGAGGCGGCCTGGTACAGCACATTCGATTGCCTGGAAACATCAAACTGAGAGATTCTGCTGGGTTCCAGGTGAGTCTCTCGAAAAACCAAATTAGTTTGCAAATGAGTGCGTATTCGCTAATTTCGTGCAGTTTGGTTACAAGGAGAACATAAGGTCGACGGAAAGTTGGGGATGCGCCTACCTGACGAGCCCGAAGCAGAGCGAAACCAGTCGTGGGCTGTCGAGGAGCTTTCAGCAACCTTATGAGTAGTCCATTACATAAAAGATATGTCCAGTTTGACGGCCAAAATAACGTAATAAAAGTGGTATACCATTGGAGCGGTCAGGCTGATGGACTCACTGGCTGGCCAGTCAGCTGGCGAATCAGAGGGATATAGAGTTAAACAGCATTTGCCGATTCAACAAAGAAAAGCCGAGAAGCAACATACCGTTATAAAATCTGATGATCTCTGTCAAATCCATATCGTAGTAAAGGATGATGTCACGGTAGTACTGCAGCATTGCCATGGCGAAAAAAATGCCAAAGTCATATGAAACCAGCCGACGAGCAGCCCAAATCACTTCCCAGACGAGGAAAACATCTTCATATTTTAGTTCTAAGCGAGAAAAAGAGGAAATCAATGCTTTTGAACTGATCATTTGTACAATTAAAAACGACCGAACGGGCGCATTTTGAACAGCCGACTGAAAAAGCATGGTTTTTGGTTAAGTAGTTGTTTAGACATGTTTCATCACTCTTATTTTTCAACGGTCCGTGTGAGGAAAGTTTATGGGTGCTTAAGTGCCTACTTTATCGCCTATAACCTGCACAACCTGTGATTCACGTCGTAAATACGGCAGGCCAAACGACACAGATCTTTGTGCGTAGCCCATCGATATGAAAACCTGTTCAACAGTCCAACATAAAATCCACCCAAAATCCTGCTTAGAAAATCCTGTCTGTCACTAGAGGCTTAGTTAATGGAACAGCCCAGCTTGTTATTTGAACTATGCTGAGTGGTTTCTTCGAGTCACAGGCCACTGACTCCAAAAATATCCATGGAAAATCATTTGGGTCGAAATAAAATCAATTCAGAAATACACGTCATGGTTTCGGGGTTACTAGAATAATAGCTTCTCATGCAGCGTCAGAGAAAAACTGATAGATTAAAGATAAGTGCAAGCTCAAGGCAACTATAAGGTTAATACGGGAAGTTTTTGACCCAAAGGCCCATGCTTTGGATCCAACTCTCGCGTGTGAATAGCTGCTGACTCGACTTGGGCAACTTGGGGCTATGTGTCCTTCAAGCTGCACGGCAGCTATGTACCGAAGGGCTGCTACAGACAAACCACCGTTGTTGGTATAGACCACGATGAGCCTTACAGCTCAGTATGAACAGCATGGCGCACTACTTACATCTCACCTCACTGTTAACGATTTAGTGATTTGCGCCGCTAAATAATACTCAATGGTGTACTAACAAAGCCAACCAAATTACCGTACTCAGTTGGCTGAAAAGATAGGTTTCAATTTTTCTAAACAAGATTGTTGTATGGACATACAGGAAGACGTGAGCTATTTGCGAGAATATGCGAAATCATACAGTTGATAATCTTATTCCAATCTGTGGAGTGCCTGAGATCCGTAAGGACAGTAATGTCTTTAGAAGTGTCAATAATTGAACCATTCGAAGTACATTAACACGCTCAAAGGATGACGGATACCTGAAGATGGTCTCAAATCACAGTGTGCTAGCGAAGATTTCTAACAGTTTAGTCAGAAATACAGAGCCGAACACCTGACAGGTCAATCGAATGGTAGATCAAAGTCAGCCGTAGAACCGGTGGGCCACCGGTAAATAGCTAAACGGAGCAACGCGGCAGACCAAGGAAGTAATATCTTGTTTCAGAAGGCGATCAAACCATCTCCATGGAGCTACGCGCCTTCACGTTGAATCCATCATGTCACGATGAACTCACGTCCAACCTCTTTTAAGGGTGATCGACGCAAATGCGCTACTGGAATCGACAGACCCCCAAGTTCGGTTCTACGTGTTCCCGAAAATTCCAAATTCCGGCTAGAGGGAAGGGTTAGGAGAGGGTATGAATATCGTTTGTACGAAGTGTGGATACGTAGGGTGCAGCCAAACGGAGGGTCAAATAGAGGTCGGAAAAGACATGGGGACGACAACAAAATTTAACCTAGGCGCAGCCTGTAAAAAAAAGAACGGTTCCGGAAAGCGGGAAAACGTGGGGTTGTCCATTGCCACAGAACCGATGGCAACACAAAAGCTTCACATACTTAACCAATTAGTATATGTATTCAGTGGACGAAGCTAAATGCTTATTGGGGTTCCGATTATCGAATCAGAAACGCCCATGTTTTGGACGACAATGTAGCCAAAACACTCGATAAATTCGAACAAATAAAGAGCGACACCAACATTGGAATATTGGAATATTCACCAATTGCAATCGAATGCATGTAAATGTCTAGTAAAATAAGACAACAGCGGTGAACAAAACGGCTTCTGCATGAAGTAAGGCTACAGCTCTGCGATGATGAACTTGGCTTTTGCCTGAGTGAACCCAGTTTTTAAGAACGAATTCTGACCGTGCCCATAAAAGCCATCAGGTAAAAAAACACTTCTGCTGAATCTAATCCACTAGAAAGAATAAAGGCACGGATTCCCATCATAGAGCGACAGGCAAGATACAAATGTGATATGTGGGAACAGCTGACTTACCGCGCTTAAAATCCAGAAGAAGCCATCGGTAGCAAAAGTACAAATGCGTGTCCATCGACTTGGAACAGAAATAATCGTATAGTTTGGAGTCAAAAACCTGGAAAGTTTGAAAAATTATATCCATCAGATTGTGCTTTGGTCCCATTATTCAGGAGATAGACGTGGGAAAAGTAAGAAGCAAGCAATCTGGCCTAATGACGTATTTTGTTAAGGCCATTTGCAAGCCAAAATACAGTGGAATATCGATTTCTTGTAGCCAGAAGCAGCTGTATTAATGTTAAAGTAATTAGCTAGTTGTACCGGTAGTTATCTTCATTAGAAACAGAGAACAAAGTGCTTTTCGTTGGTATCCCTACCTGTCTCAGCAACACAATACTGTGTGGATTATTTTTGACCAAAGAGAGAATCCAAAGAAACGGGTAGGGAGAAGGGATGAAGTCATAAGAGGAAAAGGGGCGCTCGATTGTGACTGGACCTTATCTAGATAGCATTGAGCACGATTGGTCTTTTCAGTAAACAAAAACTTTGCAACACATCATTTGAGCTGAACCATATATACTCCGTTGTGTGGGATACGCAGTATTGTCTTCCCTTATTTTCATTGGTGAGTTGAGTCGTTTCTTTGAGAGAGTAAAAGTTAGACAACGGAACACTAGGAGGAACTGTTTTCCAGGCCCGGAGCATGATGCCTAATAACGGCAGTTAGTAAGTGCTTTCAAAGTAAAGGAATATCCTCAGCTAGAGTGCGCAGTGCTATCAAAATCACCCATAAGTATCAGACACAACGTCCCGACCCAGCTTGCAATCTTCAAACATGTCCAGTCAATTTAAGAGCGTTACTGATCGCTACCTAGCATTCAAAAGTAAACGAAAAACTCAGAAATACCATACCACGGGGATAGCTGTGAGATGCAAAACGGGTTATTTGGCTGGAAAGTAGTATCGATTATTGTAATCTCTGATGATCACATATCCCAGAAGTGTCTATGTCACCAAATGGGCACATAGGTAGTCGAACCAAGCTGATCGCGCAGGTGAACAAATCTTAGTGTCTCGGTCAGGCAAAGGGGATGAGTTAAACTTATGCCAAAGCAACTTGTATTTGGACAACGATTCTAGGATGTAAGGTTAATGCTATGTTTACGATTTATGCTCCCCGCTGAGGTACTTAGAGTTTGTCGATAGAAAAATGCGGTTTTGCAGTCACACTTGAGATGCCTTGCTGCCGATGAAGTCAGAGAAGCTTTTTTATTCTTATTATAAATAATCAGAAGTGAGCACTTCAGGAACTTCCGAAGAAATTCACATCCGCGATCGCCCTGTTAGCGGTGGAAAACTAAAGTCTTCAGTCATAAGCAGCTGATGATGAAGTGTATAGTGCAGTCAACGAATTGACACGTTATGCGCATCGCCCCTAAATGGGTGCAGACGTGCAGAAGTGAACACCAAAGAATGATGCAACGGGATGAGAAGGACTGTATGACATGATTTACTACTAAGTGATGAAAGCCATGTCCTGAAATAAAAGCAACACTCATTGTCTTCTGCGAAGTGCAGCTGTCCAGCTGATACCAGGTAGCACTGAAGGAATTTCAGCAATAATGAAAAGAAAGTACTCTGACTTCAAAAAAAACCACATGTCCTAACCCCTTTAGATTGGTTACTAGTAACTTCCAACTTGGCCGCAAACTACAGAGCGTAACCTATCAGTTGTCCAGTTATTTATCCTCTAAGAGAGAATAAGATATCTTTGAGGATCACTGGATATTACACATTTTGAACGCCCACCTTTTATGTACTAGCTCATTATCCTGTTGGGACATCCTCAAAATCATTGTCGAACGACACTGCCCTGCATGACTCTTTGGGAAATGTGGCCTCTGAGGTGATGCCAATGTCAAGGCAATTTATATACTTTAGATACGTTTGTGAAAGCGTTAGCTTTAACATTTTGGTTAGCAACCGAAAGTAAACGGAAACCGTTCAGATTCACTAATAACTTAAGAAATATAAGCCGGTCAGTAGAATAACTAAGCTTAGTAGCATACTCTGTACACATTGATGCGTTCAAATCCACACTCAACCGACAAGGCGATTGAAGGCAGGTCACTGAATGCCGCTGCGTAAAAATAAATCGATTGCTTCTCAGAGAGATTTTGTATGCTTCGCATACAATAGTCGCAAACGATCATAGGGCTATAAAATCATGTGAGTACTCCTCCACTGAACCGTCCACAGTGAACATGATTTATTTCATCTAATCTTTGCTTCATCTGGTGATCTGTCCCCTTTCGAACGCGGAGCATTCATCATAACTAAACTTGAAAAAGTTGGATAGAAGTTGCCACACTCTCCTTGCGCTGATTCTTCGATGAACTCCCTGAGTGACCCTCAACGTGGACCTCAACAGCCTTCCCTTCGTTTTTACATGCGCCTCCAACCTGATTCGTTCTAACTGTCAGGCACTCTGTTTCAGAGATCTCAACCACAGTTATTCTATTCACTACGTAGGCGATGACGTTAAAACAGCTAACTTGATACCTATCACACTCCAAACCTGTTCTATATAGCACAAACTAAGTAGAAACCACATTCCTGGAGAGTACAAAACGGAAAGATGGTAACCAAACTCCATTTGAGATGAACAATTATCTCGATTGAAGAGGGAATAGCCTTCTAGTTAATTTCGTTGGTGATATTGCACGCAAAGCAATAACAGCCAATTAAATAGAAGGGTTTGCTGTATGAAGAGAAAGTCGACAGCTACTGTGCAAGTGTTTGAGGTATACCCAGTGGGACAGGATGACTCACGCAAAATCACTGATGGGCCTTTTCGGATTCATCTTGTTAACCCTGAGAAAACAGGCTCCGTAGTTTATATACAGGATTTAATTCTACATAGTGAAACACCTTATGCCAAAGGAGCATTTAAAGTAAAGTACAAGCTGACATCAGTCATCTGCCTTTTACCGTTCCAGTTTGCCTACGCATCCCTAAAAGCTGCGACGCACCGATCCGTTGCAACAAGCGAAGATGATTGTGAAAGTTGTTCACATAATGGTGCAACCGGGCATAGTCAGAGGACGTGTGAATGCTAACTCTAGTCGAAGCCCACCGAACATGATGCTCATGGGATCGACTACAGCTCGGCGGGCTCCCAGAATCATTCCCGTTTTCGAACCTTTCTCTACTACCTCTTCGCAGCATTTCACCTCATCAGACGATCGACTTCACTCCTAGAATGGCTTTGTTAAAACCATATGCTCCATTGATAGCAGCATTTTTCTCTCCCCCGCGGTGGCTGCAGTTCTTCTGCCATTTACATCATTGTCTCTATATGTCAATAATTTCCTTCCTGATTTATGTTTCAGAATAAGGGGAAGCCGTACTACTTTGATGTGAACAAGATGTCCCTTAGGTAGTTTGAAGAGCAGATCTTGCTAGTACCAAACCAACCGGGGCTTTGAATCCGAACCTCATTGGACCACTTTCCTCACTATGTATTACTGATAGGATAACTGACTTGTTCTGGACTTGAAAGTAATTCGCATAGTAACACTATTGTACGTGATACCGTAGTATGTTTGCATGTGCTCAGATATTCGGTCTTGGTTAAACTCGTCTCAAGTTTGATAACATCAAGTTGATAAATAAATTAATAAACGATGGTGAAAATAAGTAATAATGAAGTTGTCCGGTGCCACAATAACATTGCGTACAGCCTGGTTTTTGAAGTATATTTTCGAACGTCCAATCACAAACGAAAATCGAATGGTACCTCGATTTGCATCGTTAAAGTGCGCGAAAGAAGTCAGTGAGGATTGGCCTACTGATATATGTATATGTATCTCCGAATTTCACTATGAACTTATGTCCTACTGGGTTACTCAAAGTGCCAGTCTTGAACGACGTGCTAATATGGTTCTATAAGAAACGCGATTATCTGCTCATACACTGTCCAACTGCACCAATGGCAAATTGTGGCATATTATAGACGGTCACAGACAATTTGGTCTATGAGAATAGGTGGTACCGATGATTTAGTATTCGACAAGACGTACTTGAATTAAAGAGTTCAGGTTGGAGAATCGCAAATCCATGCAATTCAGCCTTCGGGAGGCCAGAGCACGCGTGTAGGGTGAGGGCACAACTGGGAGCGAGACGGAACAAAGGGACGCGGACTTGGATGACAATTCAGTGAGAACGGTTGATTTCGTAGTAAGGACTGGCGATGTGTTCGGTCTGGTATGGCTGTCGAAAATTTTTTGTAAGCTTTCAGGTGCATCGCTCACGGTGCCGGCACCTCTGGCCAATGATAACAGGGTTGGTTTTGTAGGAGTTTTGCGCTGCGTATCTACAGTGGGTCCATTGGCGTTAGAATTACGAGGTGAACTGTCTAGCGATGAACGATCAATAGAAGTGGGGAAATTCGGAAGCATCCACTCCATCAAGGCCGAAAAGCAGGCGAAAGTTAACGCTTCTTCTTCCAACACAATGAGAAGCGGTGCGAGCAGATCACACATACCTTGAATATACCCTGTGTCGAGATGCAACCAAACCCATGTGCAAATTATATTTCTCAGTTTGTGTAGGTTCTCATTCAGCTCGGAATATTCCAGGGGATTTTGCTGTGGTTGTGGCCTTGAGTCGAATGTCCGTTCTAACAGAAAGAAGAAAGGAAACATGTACAGATGAGGAGGGATGGCGCAGAACTTGTCTCCAAGAGAGAAAGCATCGCACCAGGACTACGGGCGCAAAAAGTTCGAAACAGACAAACTACTACTACCTGATAAGTACGCAAAGTGGTCCCTCAAATCCGGTGATCCGCTTCTGCCGATCAGGTGACGTATTATGTTGGTGCGATATGAAATATGTAGGTTACGCATTTGATCACGACCTATCATGAGAAGAAGCACTCGACTTGGCACTGATCTATCACCAAACTCGTAACAACTTCTGACAAACTACATTCAAAACACACTAGAACAACAAATGTGGTACATAACACGGTGAGAAGTAAATCATCAGTTTATGAAAAGGTGGTATCCAGTAGTATAGTAGAGGAGAGACAACGCGAATAATGCTGCGTTTGTTCTTGTCCACCAAACTCGTAACAACTTCTGACAAACTATATTCAAAACAACTAGAACAAAAAATGTGGTACATAACACGGTGAGAATTAAATAATCAGTTTGTGAAAATGTGGTATCCATTAGTATAGTAGAGGAGAGACAACACGAATAATGCTGCGTTTGTTCTTGTCTAAAGAAACAGCCTTTTTGAAGGCACTTTCTAGCAGGCTGGGAACGGGGATTTTAAAACGAAACAAGATTTGACTGTCAGAAATGAATAGTACATATAAATGTTAGTCAAAATACTCACTGGGAGTGGCGAAGAAAGAATGGTTGCGATCACATCTGGAAACATCCTTGTCTATTCGATAGAGATTGAGGCTTAATGCATCCAAATCCTTTGGCTGAAAGGAACAGACAGCAAATGAGTTGTTCAAATATTCAGAAGTAAGCATACATGATGAGGGACTAGATAGACGGGTGATCTGTTCTTTCTCTTTCAGTTGGATTTAATTAAGATATGGAGATAACGGTAACATAGGGCGTGTGTAAAGTGAGATATCTAAGTATGTACACTGTAGATAGAAGCCTTAGATAAAATAGAAATAGTTCTTTTGCAAAATGACCATTTGATAAGCAAGGCGGTCTAGTAAAGACAGTCAGGTTGCGTAGCGTTTCGGAATTCATCGCAGTCAAAAACCGCACAATGTATCTCTTACGGAAACCCCAACACAAAGATGTGTGGCCCGGTGAACTGACTTTAAGTGGGAAAAGGTGCAAAAATTTCAAAAAGCTCCATAGCGAAATTGGTTCAATGCATAAAAAGCAAACCATTCAGCATCCATACGCTAAGAACTATGGGCGGATACATTTGATTCTCATGGCGGGCATCATGATGAGGAAGCCAAATACGATACGATATAAAAATATTGTACATAAGATAGGAAGAATGGCACCTTAACCAATTAGAGAAATGAAGGGATTAGTGTGAAATTCATATACAGCATCCCATCGCAAAAACACGCAGACAGTGGTGTTAACTAGCATGTATCATCAGAACAGCTGGACACTGGTTACAAGAGGACCGGGCGGCTTTTTCACCTGGAACTCGGATAATAACTACCAAACCGGGCATTTTTATTGTCAAAAATCTAACATGCATACGAACAAGTATATGAGTATTCGAAGGACTCCTGGAAACGAGGTGGACTTAGAAGTCCTTTTGTGCCGACTTCAGACTTCAATTGACCGCTGGACTTGTGCGTCCACGGTCCTTTCACAACAGTTGCGTGGGCCAAACTCTTTGCTGTCTTCGTACTATGTGAATGGCGGATGGTCTATACAATAAGGATCGAGACAGAAAATTTCGTCACCTCCTGCGCATCGATTTTGTTCTTGGTGATAATCCTGCTTCAGTCTAAAGCTCATGCAAGTATTACCGGATGTCGGTTACAATACCCATTACAAAACGAGTGCAGAAAATACACGCAAAGACGTACAAAAAATTTAGAGGCATCTATTGAATCATTCGAAAAATCCTGATGTGTTGGGGTACCAACTTCGTCATCGTAATCACTGACGTAGTAATCTGGTAGCTGAAAAGCAGCATTCCCGTCCGAATTTAGCCGTGGTGTCGTCAGGCTCTCTGAGTTTGCGAAAGATTCTGCCAAAAAATAACGGAAATGACACTGAAAGTAATTAGCGAAAGAACGTCCACAAAAACACACTTGAAGTAGCATTTTGAGGCCATAGGTATGTGGGAATACTTGTGCAACGGTGGATACTACTGATAAGGTATGCGAATGATGTTTTCTTGTAACTTCGCTCTGCGTCTATTGGAAGGTGGGATTTATCACAACATTTTTGAAATTGATTTGTAACATTCAAGTGCATTTGAGTGATAGTGAATGATTTTCCGGGAAGTTCAGGAGACAACATTTTTGAAATTGATTTGTAACATTCAAGTGCATTTGAGTGATAGTGAATGAATATCCAGGAAAGTTCAGGAAGATTCGTTCGGTTTTTACAAACAAGATGCATACGAGAGTACTGCTTTCTGTAGCTGTTCAGTTGATGCTTTCTAATAACTCCGCAGCGAAGGCTTTTCCTTCACTGATATAGAGCAGAAAAGTTTGCGAAAAATGGGGAGTCTATCGATAGCCTCTCAGTTTTGGCTACAATAAAGTACAGCAAAGCCAAACCTACCCGGGTGTATACGCAAGGTCGATAACCTAAGCAGCTCGTGCCTCGTCTGTGACACAAGGTAACACTTAGGGGCAACTCTGATAGGACGGGTATATACACCGTATGACTGTTGATGTTGATGATTCATATAAGCTTCGTAGTAAGTGTGTATTAGAACTATGCTCTAAGAACAAATTGGACAAAGTACGTAGAAGAACGAGCTGCTCATTATTTTTATTAAATCTTAGTGATCAGAAAGTGCGTGTTTATTGCAGCATAGATAAAAAGTGGTGCTAGAGTACGAACTAGCTTGATGGAAGGTTGGAGACGCGGTCTACTTAATAAGGCCCAAGAAGTTTGTGACTGAGGGTGGACCTTCTAGAAGTTTTACCAATCTTACTGGAGTAAATTATGCTGCTTCCAGAAACGTCTTCCCATACTTTAGCTGGGACAATAGCGTGAAGCTTGTCTTGACGGTTCGCTCCATTCCTGTGCGGATCACTAGCGCAATCTCAAGATTTAAGCTTTGGATTAACATATCTCCGAGACCATTGTGTGCAATGATCCAGCTCAACAGCTGTTTCAAAATAAATTACTGACGACCAGGAGAGCTGGAGCACTTGAACAAACCATTTGTCTGCATGCATTTCTACGCGTCTGATGGCTGCCATCTCATCAGTTGTCACAGGTAATATGCGAGCACCTTTAGGACAATAATTAGGATTCTGTGATATACGTCATAACGATTATCAACCTATTGCTCCCTGTAATAGCACTAGAACTCAGCCCTGATCCTCCCTGATTCGGTGACGTTCAAATTCACGAATGCTTACCGCTAATCTAGTTCGAATGAACTACTTACCACGTTGCTTATCATCACGGGCAACCTAGCTTTACTGCATCGGTACTATTGATTCCAAACACTCGTGTCAAGCGTTCGGTCAGCAAAAGTATTCAAAATAGGAGACCTATGAAGTTAATTTCGTTCTGTGCTATAGCGAATTTGTCTCGAAAAATTTGTTCGGTTATGCCTTTTCCCATGATGACAAACACTTTTCGGCAGTATTTCAAATCAAGGGCAACACATGTTTCAACCTCCCCTTGGTGCAGATCTTTCACGATTTGGAAACCAGAGAGTTAGAGACAGAATACCGGATGCAACTATCCAGATATTGGTTATTAAGACGTTCAAACGAGCAATTTTCTCCCACCAATATCCTATTTTATCGTAAAGTGCGCAAGACTATTGATGAGACGCAACAGTAACATGTCTGAATAGGCGCTGACAACAACATGAAAAAGAACATATGGGCTAGAATTTCGTCCATGCACCATGCTTCTGTGCTCACCGTCTTTTACCATAGCCCTGAAAGTGTCTGAGGATATCGAGCCAAAGGAGGAAGCTATGGTAATGTCATCCTGTCGTCTATACAGCGTTACTGAATAGAAAATGGGTATTGAATATACAATCCAGCAACATGGGGATACATTTACGTACGACTTCCTCGTACGCAAAGAAAAGAAACAAGGGAAATAAACTCAGCTACAAAACTGTGAAACAACTTCCGGCTGTGTTAAAAATTCGAGCGAAGCAAATTTGACCAGAGCATGATAAATGCCGGTAAAATAAGCACAGGTATTGTTCGGTCTTACCTGTGAAGCCGTTGCCCGTTTGTACTTGGTCCGACAAGGGGAACTGTATCGGTTCAACATCAGTTGATCGCCTTCTTTTTCCACCATTTTTCGGGCTTTCACAAGTTTCGATAAATCGAAGGGAGGGCAGTGATTGTGTTGATGATCGTCGCTAATTGTTGAAAATATGCCAGGTAGTAGTATTAACGCCAAGAAAATGTCATGTTGGATGAGTTGGATGCAAAAGGTCTATCCAATTCACCAGGCTTATTGTGTCTTTTGCCGAGCTTGATAATTTGTAAATGTTTCCTCACAAAATTGGGAAGCGTCATCTATGGATCAGCGAGTGGCACCGCGGTTTTTTGCATCAGTAGGTGTGGTTAAGCATGCATGCACTTGTGTATTAGTCCGAAGCTGAGCTGCCAAGCCAACCAACCAATCAGAAATTCACGATCAATGGTTGTTGTCAAAGCCTACGTACAGATATGCACCCTAACACTAAGCACTCAGCTGATGAACCGCAAAGTCCCTGTGCAGAGCCACATAGTAGGAATGTAGCACCGAGTCGGAAACAAACGTTTGGAGCTAATTTTTGAGGCTCAGTAAGTATCCAGATAGCACGAAATCGGTTAAATTAGAGAAAAAATCTAAGCTCTCGTGCACTGTAAAATTGTACTCCGTTAAATAATCGTTTAAAGTGCAGTTTTTGATTTTGGCACGGGCAACCCATGCAAAAATCTCGAAACAGCTAAGATTGTGTTTCCAATAAAAAGGAAGCAAATTAGACCAGAATTTTTGTTTTCCGTGATTGTGATCTTACAATTATGGATTTCATATAGCCTCCTACTTGAGTAGTGAAGACGTACAAGTCCATACTGGTGCTCTATTGGAAATATTCAACAGTCACTATGAGTGAATATTAGCTGAGAAAACGAACAGACTATAAACGACCGTTTAAATCCGGATGATACACAAACAAAGCCAAATTACTGTGTAGGAACGAAAGGAATGTAGAAAGCAAGAGCAGTGGATAAAACCTGACATGTAGGATGACGAATTGCTAGCCAAGTAAAATCAAACTAGCTGACAGAAATGAAAATATGCTCTGGACAATATACCCGGTTGTTTACGATACCTACTGTCAGGACGAGCCCAGACATGAAAAAATCACATGTGCAGAGAGTGACACATCCCCGAGGTCACCATCGGTACGACACGTTTCGGATAGCAGGTGCGTTGACGGAGCCCACCAAACATGGCTTAGTAGCATAAGACCAGTGGAGTGGGGCTGAAATTGTTCAAGATTGGAACACCGCCATTGGCTGTACAGAACAAACACGTGAACAATCATATTTGGCCATCTAGGCATCCTATATATTTATGCAGAAGTTCGGTATGTTTTGTCCTGACAATACAGCCGTGCCCAGAGTTCTCTGTCTTCTCCTTATCGCGTAGTCTGGTAGGCTCAGTGCAGGCATAACCAATAGACGGCCACCCACGATACAACACCTACATGCACCACTAGCTCCTAATCTGCCCCAACGTTATGTGATTTGGGCACCCTTACCAATTCCGTTGTTGACCTTTTTCCAGAGGTTAAATGCTGGGAATAACCTTGATAAACATAAACTAGGAACAGTTAACTAGAGAAATCGACACCAAACTCAGTGCATTCACCAAAGCATTCGGCAAAATTGGCGATTCGTGCCTTGAAGGTTTTTGCGCACGCGTGAGGCAGTTAAAAATATCAACCAGAAAGGACTGGTGTGGTACTGCAATGCAAGCACGCTTGAATCAAGTGTTAGGTTCCGGTTGGACACAAGTCAGTGTGAGACACTGACGTCACTTAACTTCATGAACCAGTGATCCATGTACCTTCCCTGAAGGCCCCACCTTCTTATTGCTTCTCCGAGAAGTATGCGACCGTGACGTGTGGATATTCTTTGTATGTAATTTCCGGTTTCATAAAAAAATAGGGACGTAGTAGCTAAGAGGACCAACTACAGAAAACAAGCTTGGTTTTTTTTACCTCCAACGAATATCTTCAATCGCTTTCGGCTGGTTCGTTATAGGTCGCAGCCCTTTCAAACTCTGGCGTACTCTGCTGTGTTCGGTGACCATGCATGATCAGTTAACTGTCCCTAATGTCACACAAACAACAAAAACACATGGACCTAATGCACGCATCAGGATTGTGACCTTCTCGCTTTGTCCCTGTCCGTCAGCAAAAAGTGTCCGTTGGACTTGTTAGTGAATATTTTCACACTTCGTAACGTTTCAAAATGTTTCACCGATGAAAAACAGTTATAGCATGGATGCACCTAGTGAGAATGATTTAAAAACAACAACACTAAGAATATTCCATCCTAATTTGCATACCATGCTCGGTTTCGTCACCATATCACAAACCGACACCCATCGTTTGGAACGGACAGGTCCAGGGATATTCGTTTGTTGACTTCCTACTTGTTGAGACCCATCCGGATCATTCGCATCGTATTTCTTTGCCAGAGTTTCAGCTGCTTTCCACTGCCTTAGAGAGGAAATGTAGTGGCGTCTGTGCATCGACCGAACACTGCGCAGTTCATCCTTGTCTGCACCCCATGTGTACACACCAAGAAGGTAGGGCCATATCTTAGGAGAAGAATGGACACGAAAATAATGATCTATAGGAAAAAGCAGGGAATTTTAAGAGTGAATAAATAGTTAAGTAACTTTGTACGTACTCTTAAATTTACCAGTCCAAAATAACCTAAGTAGTTGGTCAGAGGAATCGATAATTATATCCCAAGTTTTCGTTTGCTTTCTTGCTAGACAGTAATCAACAGTTTCTGAATTTCACGCCAAAGGTCGGTGGCCGGTTAAATGGCAATTCTGAGGCCAGACTCTTGTCGTTGACCCAGAGAAGCAGATTCACTGTTACTCATTCACAATAGTTTGATTTTATGAAACTGAAATAGCCTGCGGAACCAGGAATTAACCTAGGTTGGAGTCAAAATTTAACGCGAGGTACAAAGAGAGTCTCGCAAGTTCATTTGATATCTGGCAGTTACTGAGTGCACTGGTGCAACCAGAAAGCCGGAACAAAGTAAATGGAAGGACCCTTACGGCGCTTGTCGTATCTTCGCTCAACCTCCAATTCTCTCTTAATTAAAATTCATACTCTGCTTGATGTCGTAAAGTTTATATGAGATACGTTTTTGAATTGGATGCAATTCGAACTATATTCAACGACGTAGAATGCGAATGAACTCACCTCGCGCCGAAGCGATTCATCACAGCTCCCGAAATAAATATGTCGACACAGCTCATGGAAAGTAAAATCCTGAAAATAAAATCGAGTCTGATTCAGACAAGGTCAGTTCAGAGTTCGGACATGAGAGTTGGTAACTATTTCTAATAGAAACAAATAAATTAGGTTTACTGCAGATTTCTGCGTAAAGCTACAACAGTCTTCCGAAATATTCAATGGCAGCGCCGGTCATTAAACCGGAACCAGTATTATGTGCAAAACGAAATAGGGGAAGAATAAAGAATAGGGCTAAGCTAACACAGATTTCTTTGGTTTTCAGATCGTCCAACTAACTGAAAGAGCGAATAAGAGCATTTTACCTGAAAAGTAGAGGGATCGGATCAATTAACATCCATTTTTTGCCGAATGAGTAACCTATTGAACGAGGACTGGTCTTCTAGCATACACATTTCTGGACATCAGTTTGATCTTGATGAGAAACTCACTTGGAACCAAGATGAATCTTCTTTTTATGACCTTCTTAAGTCATTATTCGTTTGGACAGATAAAGAAAACATATCTAGGCTTAGTGTTAATGAATGCATTTTGTGGCTACAAACCGTGGTGAAACAAGCCGATGTGGAAGTATGCCTAATTTCTGCACTGATTCCTTCTCATATCCTTTACAAAGATAAATCCTGTTTCTATGGGACGACCATTTCGGTTCCGATTCTCCATTCTCCATTCTACATGGAATGTCTTGTGATATCTTTGGAGGAACAAAGTTTCAAGCCAATAGTGTGCGCTAGATTCTGTTGGCCACATCAAAATAAGGACTGAATAGAACATTAGAGCTGCGCTGTAACACTGGAGGGATTGAGATGATATCAAAGCCATGATAGATTCACTGGGTAATCACCACTCACTGCTTTCAGTTCAGCCCATGAGAACATGTCCAATAAGCGTGAAATTGTGATCACAACTAACGCTGTCTTCACCTCATTCCCTGTCCCATCGGAGATGGTACGAGGAAATTCTGGGTTCAGAATATAAAAGCTGCCAAACATGAAGCCATTTCATTCTTCAAATTGGTCGCTAGAGATATCCTCGTAGAGAGTACCATGATAGTCAGACATATCATAGCTTCAAATGCAAAACAAGAAGGAAAGCAGACGGGCTGACTGATAATGGGCTCAGATAATCTAACCGTGATGCTGTAACAAGGAAGAACCAGCTCTGTTAAGCTAAAAACACTCATTTACAAACCAATTCAGTTTTGACGCGAGACTCATCTGGAACCCAGCTGAATCTCTCATTTATGATGTTTTTAAGAAACTGAACGTGGTGCATCAGGCAGTCTCATGTTTCCGTTGGTACGATATTCCAGATATCACGATACATTGATAGACTGATACACTACTCATAAGGTTGCTAGAAACCCTCCTTGAGGGTCACCAGGTAAACGAAGTCCCCGAATTCCCGTCGACCTTGTGTTCAACTTGGACCCAAATTGCACGAAATTAGCGAAATGTACCTATTTCCATGCCAACTTGGCTTTAATGGAGGCTCGCCTCCCTCTCTCCCTCTCTTTAGCCATGATTTAAGCAGCTAAATGTGCTGTTCCAGGATATCGTGTGACTGTGCCTACCTAGCGAGCCCCGAGGAGAGCAAAGCCGGTCGTGGTCTGTCGAAGGATTTTCAGCAACCGTATGAGTGGTGTACTTTGTCTAAGTTTACTCACTTGTGATGATGGCAGTTCTGAAAATGGCACATTGAACATAATATTGGTGCAACGTTCAACTTGGTCTACACATTAGTGCCATTAGGCTGAAGAAGACGCAACACAATTACGGTGAAATTAATGTTGACTGCCGTGTAATTGTCGCAGAACTGGTGTGCACTGCAAGAGTGACGTATTGGAGTTACCTTGGGGAATTAGGAACAAGAGAAATTCAGTCACAACGAAACGCGTCATCAGTCTCGTTCAGTGTTCAAGATTCTGAAGCACTCAAGGATATCCTCAATGCAACCAAATTAAAGAGGCCAGTCAGTCTAGTTACGAACCGGAGAAATAAATTCAACAATTCATTATCCACAGACACCAAGTGATAAAAACAACTCACTGGCTCGCATCGGTCTTTTATATGAGTCCACAATGTTGGTGTAATTCCATCCTGCGCATTGCGTGGTAGGTCGACAGTAACCAAGTCTGGGGACACCAGATTTCCTAATTTGGATCGGAGGGTGCGCATTTTACGGCAGAAACCTAACCCTTTAACAGAGGGAACATGTTATGGAAGTTATGAGTATGAGAAAGGTGACCTTACTATTGTGATACGGGCTTTATATCAATTGCCTCAGAAGCATTGGGGTGTTTAATATACGAAAATCTTTTCTGGGAGAACAGCGTTTATTAGGGAGGTGTGTAATTGAAAGGTCTGATGTGAACAGACGCACAGCACCAATTTCATCGGTAGCAGGCAATCAGAGTTTAGTGGAGCAAGACAGGGTAATATTAAGGCTATTTAAACACAAAAATACGCCTGATTACCGTTTGTCCGGTTTAAGCTGATTAAAGTGGATCAAGAAGAAGCGGGAAGTCGGTTGCTTGTCCAAAAACATGCGAAGTAGTTGCAAGTGACAGGGTACAATTGAAATCTATAAAACTTCGGATGCGTCTGAATAGTTCCAAGTCATATCGCCCCTATTATAACCGAAAATATCCTGTGGTCTATACAGCGGTGTATTTGGATCTCGAAAGAATCAGGTAAAACAAGTCGTTCATCCTTATTGGGTCTCATCAGGTGGGAGAAATGTTGTCAGGCAAATGACGGCTGAGTAAAATTAAGGTCTAATATCGTGCTTGCCGAGGGGTTGTTAAGTTGATTAACTTAAATCTAATTCGGTTTTTAGGTAGCCAACTACCAACCCACCAAAACAACCTGAGAGCTACCGATTACTCAGATCCGTTTAGCCAATCAATGATTTTCATGAAAAAGCTGACCGGGGTCTGGATTGGATGCCCCTGCTCTCCTTGTTCGCTTTTGAAATGAACACTTTTTTCTCACAGGAAACCCCACAAAGTAGAATGAGTATGTTTTAATGAAATTTGATTGGCTAATGAAATGAACATATGAAATTAGTGAAGAGTTTTTTGAATGAAACCAGCCTTCACTAGCCATCATGGAGATAGCATTGGAAATACCAAGTTCCAAATGCATTTTGCAGTACAGGTTTACCTCAAAGATAGGACTTTGAGGACAAATATAAAAATACAATACAAAATATAAACAAATAGATAATAGTTATGTGTTGCATAAATAATATAGACTAATATTATTCGAATATGAATATACAGAATATAATATAGTATAAAATGAAGATAGAAATCACTTGAGGATACCTGGAAGCTGTGATCTGAGAAAGAAAACTTAACTTGCCCTTTTACGGGACCTCCCACCAGTGAGTCGCACTACACAATTGTAATATTACGAAAAGCTGGAACCAATGATTGTTAACCGAGTAGCTGACTTACATCGATGAAACGCCCTTGATAAAATTTCTCGTCGAATATTATCACACAGTTGTTCGATGGGTGTTTCATGTCGCTCTTTGTAGTCCAAAGGTGAGTCCGGGTTCTCCATGATCGGCTGAGAATCACGTCTCCTCCCAAGGCACTCCTCAATCTATAAATATGACGTAAATGGAAACCTCGGACAGCGTGCGACCCATTGCATTCGGTTTATCACAACAGCACAACATTGAACCACAAATGCATCATGGCCGTTAACCGATGCTGAGAATGTAAAGATGGTTTAAACATTCACTTTGATATCTGAATCAATACTTTTTTGTACATTTTTCGTGAGCTGCTCGGTGGGGGCTTTTTAACAAGTTATCAAGCCAAGTGATACTCAGATCTATTTGATACAAACAGGGTATTGTACGTTTTTCGTCCATACTAACCATATGCTAACAAGAAATCAGAGACAAGCGGTTCTTTTCCCATGTTTATTTTACTGGAGGCTATTTTACTAGGACCAGTTACCCGGGGTCAATCGTTTTGTAGAGGATTGCACCGAGGGATTTTCCGGGAGGAGGCAGCTATTGGGAGACCGAGTACTGAGCATAACGGCTGTATTCGTACTCTCCTAGATTCAGTAAAAACGGAGCTCGGACATAAACAAAGACCGGATAGCTTAACTGCTAGGTTCAGTTACTTGTCTCTGATCACGATTCCGCATTTTAATCGACTTCAGTCGTTCACATTCATCTGTTTCCTATAACCTGAATAACTATTTGTAAAATGAGAGATTAAGTGGACTTTCATTTCCCCGGATTTCTCTGGATTCTACATAATGATGATAAGTTAACTCAGATTCACTAGCCCTCATTCACTGCTCATGAATCTGGTGCATCTTTTATCGCAACAGCGTTGAAAAGCACCAAGATTGGTCAACATGACATTACCGTTCGTCACCTTCTTTACTATCGACCTGATTTCATGGTGTTTCCTGAGGGATCACTGGAGGTGGATGTCCAGTTAAGCTTTACTTTCAAGTTACACTTGTAATGATTTGAACCCAAAATAAAGGTGCTAGCTAGTCCAAAGTGACCTCATGGTGATCTCCTTATTCATTTGCTTACTCAGTCCATATACTTTCGATCTCCACTTGTTTTGCTCATTTGTGTATTCAATGCAACTTGCCACAAAGGCCGTTCCAGCCATCGATGGTTTGAGGTAACACTGAGCCACTTACCTATACACGTTCGTGCTTCGTTTGCTTAGTCTGGTCTGACTTGCCCTGTTGTGATTTCCTTGAATCGCATCAGTAATCACAATCACGAGACCGGCCTTAGAACGGGTGGTCAAGACTTGTAAAGCCGGCTCAACATTAAGCCTGCCTTTGCCCGGTATGCAAACCTTGAAACTGCGCTATGGCAGCTAATGGAAGACTTTCACGCTTGTTGATGCAAAGAAGGTGGACAATCAAAGTTGGTTGTGTGGTTTCGCTCACCTTTTTGTAAACAGTACCGTAGACCTTCAAACCCATTTCTTCCTTTTGATATTTCGGATCATCAGACCTACGCAAATTTCCGCATAAGTAACCTCAACAGATGCGATAAGACTTCGTGATAAGAAGCATTTGATAACTTAAATAATGAAAGCAGCTAGTTGACGTACCTTAAGCAATCAGCAGCCTTCCGAAAAAGCAATGAAGTTCGAGAATAACTTTGTCATTGTTAGACTGAGAGACTACACTTGTGGCGTGAGACTTCAGTTACTCCCGTCTGAATTCTTTTCAAAACGCTTTTCTAATGGTGGGTCAAACAAGTGAATATAATCTCTGACAATAAAGCTACAAGCAAAAATTCTTGCAAAAAGCGTTAAGATATTCATTTGAACACGAGGTATGCAAGTTTAATGAATAAATGCAACTGTCAACTGAAGGCGAAGGAAGAGAAGATCCACACCTGTTGTTCTCCAGCCCCCTCCACTTGCTTCAAGGACCTAAATCCTCAACCAAGTTTACTTGTGGCAACCAAGTTCCATATTTCAGAGAACACTTTCATATATAATGAGCATTATTCATCACTCGCCTTGAGAAACCTGGTAACATTTGTGTTTTGATTGTGATGACATTGTGCTCGATTAGGATACAACGGACTCGCCCGTTTCTGATATGCCTCAAATAAACTGGATGCAAAGAGGTCACCTTGTATCCTATCCGAGCCGATATTTAAGATTTCAAGGCATTTTTTCTTAGTAGAGACCCTTCGTCAACCGCGTAAATATTACCGCATTTGGGAACGCGGTAACGATTTTGTTCTAGGAAATCGGGTTTCCTGCATTATCATTGGTATCAGCTGAAACCCATCTTTCGTACTATATCGCTTGTAAAAGACATTCTGGAGCCAGAGACCACTTGTGTCTTACAAGATCGGTTGGAGAACGTCATAAACAAAAGACAAATTCGAATCTTGTTTTAGGCTTACACTCTGTCCTAAACAAGCATGCTTTCAGGCCACGGAATCATCCACAGTGATTTCAAATAAAAGGGTAGTGTCAGTCTATGAAAGCAGTTGTTAACCTACACGCTAAAAGTTAAACGGTTTTCTCAGAAAGCAGTCACGTTTGTCGCAAATTTCTGCTTAGTAAAACGATAATAATCAGTTTGTCTCTGCCTCAGGTCGGTGTTCATGGTTCCGTTTACGTGCCCCCAATTAGAGGTTTCTGATTTGTATTCCTAGCCTCCCTCAGTTTCGACTGCACAGTTTTTGGCCAAACTGGTTGACCACCGCTTAAATGAGGTAAAAAGACGGAAATGAATATACATTACATTGTTTCGCCTTATGAGGTTTGTTCGGCTATCTGATTTATTCCATTGTACAGAATTGTGGAATTCCCAAGTGCAAGTCATGCGAGCGAGATAGAAATTAGCGAGCGAATAAGGGCCATAGAATGAGCACTCGGAAGTATAGTGTTCCTACTATGTTGTGACTTCGCCGTGCATAATATTGAAATAAGACGGTATCGACGAGTTAGACTATCGTCAAGCATATTTAGCAACATTTGATTCAGTACATGGGTGCCCAAGATCTTCTTGACTAAAAGCTAATGAAACCGGAAATCGAGGACAACTACACTTGCCCAACCATCTTTTCTTGATGGGACCCACCAGATGTCACAAAATAGGTCATCCATCAACTCGTTATCAACACCTCCCTGTTGACGGATTCAAGCAGTGTCCCAAAGGCAGAGCAAACCTTTTTCTAGCCCAACGGGAAATAGCAGTTATCAAGTTGGATAATTTCCACCAGTTCATTCCCTCTTAGGAGGGGAAATATTGTTCCAGCTCTTATGACTGGATGAATGAGCTCACAGTCAATAGGAGTCATCCACTGGTGGAGCGATCAGACCGAGATACTCAGTGATGTGCATTCCTGTCGGGAACGACCGGTATATGTAGCCCGCATAGAACCATAATCCTTTCGCAGAACCAAATAAATGAGGAGAAACAAACGACAATAACACTCCTAAGGAATACCCCAGGTAACACCCCAAAATAAAATTCTGTTCTATCTGGTTGATTTACCTTTTTTAACGAAATTTCAAACAGCCATAAACCAGTAGCTGATGGAAAACCGACTGAGTAAAAATGGGAGATCAATGTTGACAAAAACCTTGTATTCTATCTACAAAGTACCTCTAAGTGAACAGATAAGATTGTGTGAAAACTTATGTAAGACGTCCATAAAACTAAACCAACCTTGCTGAGTTTTGACTTGCCACAGGCTATTCTGAACTTCCGAAAGTTGCGTCCCTCAAACTTATAACTGGACACTCGCAAATTCACGCCCGAATTTTCATAGTCTGTGTCAATCTCAGACTGCGTTGTACTACTTTGTCTCAAGGAAGTTGGAGGACGGTTCTCGTTCGACTTCTCACTGCTCCCCGAAGGTCTTCGGGTCATAAATGGGCTCCAGTTAGGCAAAAACATTTCCGAGTCAAGATTTGTGAAGAAAAAAGCCAGGCGGAGTCCTTGATACAGTGGTTGGTTTCCTGGAGTGGTGGATTTCGGTGTTTTGTTTGTTTGGGTTTCAGCCTTGACTTCTGACAATGAAAGTGCAATGTTAAGAGAACGTGAGTCGGTGACTGAAACGGTAGGTCATACATGAGCCTCTGAAGATAGGAACTCACTTTTACGCATTAACGTAGCCTTATAAGACAGTAAAAAATACTGAGGTGGAGGAGTTGTCCTTTCCGTATAATTTGAAAAATGCGAACTGCATTCAGTTCGGATGGAGGGACGATGCATGCATTTTTTCTAGATAGACCACTGTATTTTTGCATTACTACACCTCCAACTACAACGTATATACTATTTAGCCTGACTCTAACTTAGATTAAGTAGACCTTCAATGCCGATATCATCTGTTGCGGAAAATAATGAGAGACCCACGTTCGGATGTGCAGGGGCAGGTCAATACAAATCATACCTATGCGTCCTACTAACCAGTCAGAGGTGATGCATTAGAATGGGAATTCCTCATACCTTCTTGTTAGCGATCTAATTGGCCTTCGGCGCTGAATCACGATGGGCTGTGCGTCCCACCGGGAGGTTGCGTGTCTAAGACTTCTAATTCCTTGAGGTATTCACACTTGACGACTCCCAGTAGGGATGAAAAAACTGCACAGTGCTTCTAGGCTTCCTAGCATAGACTAAATTCACTTGCAGGACCGAATTTCGACAAGAACTGACGATTGCAACAAACAATGGCTTCCTGAAGTGTGGCAGGTCACATGTGATTATGAACAATCTGAAGCAGTACACACGAACAAAATACCGGAGAGATTTAGGAACAGTAAAATGATCGAATACTCCACAAAATTCTGTGAATGAATGCGTAACCATATTGCTCTTTTTGATGGTGACACCTATAAGCAGCGTGCCTTCCGTTTTCTCGCTCTCTGGATGAGCGAGATGAGTCTACAAAACTCAAAAGTGTGGCGACCCCTCGCGTTTTCAGACGAGTCCCCTTACGAAGCAGTATCATAAGTCAGACTTAAACAAATCATCCTCCCGCTTTTGGTCGGAAATGTCCCACAGTATCCCAAATTAAAAAAATACAACACTGTCAAATTGTTTTGTTTGAAACAAATCACCATTCTCGATCTTGGAAACCGGTGAATGGCATTTACTGTGTCATCCATCAGTCCAATTATCCTCTCCAACGAACCCCCCTCGAAATAAGGCGAGATCATCATGGGTTACTTAACTGTTGACTCCCCCATCCATTTTTTAATTTCACTGACCGTGATTTATTGAGCATGTTTCTCGTGAAATTTAAGCGCAGTTTCGGGATTGAAATGGCTTGGACGCGGTTCTTATCAGCTGGACGTCTTGGTGCTTTCTTCTTGTAGGTTTCAACTAAAACAAATGGCATTCAGAAAGATCTACGACGTTTGTGCGAACGCCAGTCCTACGAGACATCATTGATGAAGCTGACTAAAGAAAGCTTTCTCCAGCATCTACTTTACGTGACCAAGCTCCTGGATATAGTGGATCCTTCACGGGAGATAACGCGGTGATTTGAACCAATACTGGGAGCATCTTGTTTATCTATGTACGAGGTCTCAATGTCACACGACAGTCGGTCGATATTCCTAACACTAATATTCTGTCCTTTGGTCAGAATCAGGGGTATGGAAGGTTACCAATGGGCTCATTCGCGCGTTTACTTTCAGGTCTGGTAGATTGAACTACATATACTCCAGCATCTACTTTACGTGACCAAGCTCCTGGATATAGTGGATCCTTCACGGGAGATAACGCGGTGATTTGAACCAATACTGGGAGCATCTTGTTTATCTATGTACGAGGTCTCAATGTCACACGACAGTCGGTCGATATTCCTAACACTAATATTCTGTCCTTTGGTCAGAATCAGGGGTATGGAAGGTTACCAATGGGCTCATTCGCGCGTTTACTTTCAGGTCTGGTAGATTGACCAGTACTACATATATATATATATATATATATGGATTAAACGCGATTATTATAAAACCACTTACGTGAAGTTTTATCAGATTCCAGTGGCGGCTCCAGTGAGAAACCATACTTTCCCATGGCTTGTTCTAGACAATGCAGAAATGTATCCAGATAACTGGTGTGCTGGAAAGTAAGAGGACTGAGTTGGAGGCCTTCCTTTGTTACAAACACCACTGAGGAATTCTCTTCTGGAATTGGAAAGGTATATGTCGGTTGAATTAGCCTATGCAATGACACGAGGTGGAAAAATTAACTGAGACATTTTTTGAATATGTGGATTTCAACGAATAACGCAAATGCGACCCATACTCATTAAGACTGATTTCAGCATGAACCGACAAATGTGATGGCGTCTGGTAACGTCAGGATTTTTGTTCAAGAAGGAACATCTTTCGTTCAGTAGCCTCCCATTCGCATCGTTCTCTCTAAGTTTCCACAAAATTGTCCAATGGTTTAATCCATTAACTGGAGCAGTTGGATCAAGGATAAGCCGAAGCATGTCCGTTTCTAAAGGTGTGTACCAAACTTAGGCATTGAGCATTTTGAATATGTAATCAATCCCAGTAAAGCCTTCTCCAAAAAATGAATAGTGCCTGTGTTGGATCTCTAAATATGTCCGCAGACTGAATCGGAACAGAAGCACTTTCACAATTGCCTTATGATTACCTCAGGACCGCATACCTACCATTTGCTTGGACCATGTAGCGCGGTCTTTCGCAGGCAGACCTCATAATTTTTACCCCAATTTGGCCTCACATGCTCTCTCACGGTTGACGAGATTTTTGTTATTCTGCTTGATGTTTTTACCTGCTGGTTTGTTAAAATCCACTGAACACAACTCTGTTTTCAGTCAACTGGAAACGTTTACATTCAAACTGCTCAGCTCGGCGAACAAACCAACGACCATCTATGCTATCTGAGCTTCCAACATTCTTTTCAATAGTGACTGGAAAATGATTTGGTGTTCGGTTTCAATAGAGTATGATGAATCTAAATATGCACAAATCTATAATGAACTGTCGGCGACCTGATAATTGTGTGAACAAGCGCAGACGAGGGATTCTAGGGGATATTGGAAACAGAAAAGTGAAAGCCATAGATAATGTAAAAATGACTGCTATCAGTTTGGGAATGCCAATGTATTTACTTAAACTTCCATTCGCTCAAAAGCCAGCGTTGTCAGCAGAGTGGTAAGAAAAATCAAGTCTGTTTCTAACAATTGAAATGTTTCCACCCATATCGATTTCGAAAAAAGTTAACAAATGCGAAAGCATAGTTTCTGATCTTCTGGAATTTCGCATCCCAGTGCGCTTTTGAAATGTACTCAAAATGATCTGTTTAGCACCAAACTAGAAACATGGATCAAAGAACACTTGAACGCTAAAGGAATATGATATCACTACCAGTAAACGAGAGTTTTTCGTCTATCTATTGTTAACGTCCGGTTTGATAAGTCATGTTCTTTCGGATATTGTACAGATAAAACGGTATCACCAACAGTGGATTTCCCCTAGAACGTATAACAGAGGAGATTATGATGAACAACAAAGAGACCATCCGGAAAACAATTCTGCACTCACGTGAGTCATGACAATGAACGTAAGCCAAGTCAGTCAGTTTAACTCGAAGCGCGTAGGTCCAGTATAGACTGTAAGGAAGCGCGTAATACACGTATAGTTTTTCAATGTCTTTTACGACAGATAATTTTGGAACCATAAGAAAAAGCTATAATACCCAAGTACATATATATCAGGGATGACTGTAGGGGGTTTGTATACTCCTTGTCGCTGGAGTTCTGTCGCAGTTCGCTAATCTTAAAAAAAGATTGCCGATAGATCGGTGGTTTCAAACGCTTTCGGACAAATTTTCTTCGGTCATTTGCCAACATTCCAGCTCCCCTCCTAAATACCCAAGACAAAGTTAGAATAACAACCATGTTCATCCATAAGCCTGGCGCTCTTTAGGAGTTGTGTTGGCTGTGACCACCGTTCATATATGATCCACATCCGTAATACTTCCAAGGGTCTTCTGGATTGGTTTCTATTTCTTTCCAATGGGACGCTGAACTTCCAACCAGACAAGATAAAAATTCAACTTTGTTCATCATCCATTTCTACGAAAAATCTCAGTTGGTCACTGTGTTCAAGAACCATTTTCAATTCATATTCAAGTTTTGCTTACTGTTTACTGTAAACTCTAATAAGAAGTTAGTTGAAATTAGGGCTGGTTGTGACTCTACCATATCTTCGGATATCTGGATAAGGAACAGTGTGCTTGTTCTGGACGTCTTAATGTAATAATTGTATAACTTAAAACGGTTCCGGAAGAAAGTAGGGGTGATATGTTGGTCAGCTTACGAAAGAAATTATTCGGTGAATGCGTTTCGCTTTTCTACCTAAATAGCAGATTCCTCAAAGGTTGTGCAGGGTCAAAATTTCAAATTTACGAATGAATTCTCTGTGAATTCGGTGTTCCTACTCGGGAAAGCTGAGCAAAAATAATGCAAACGTCATACGGATAAAAGTGGTTTGTTTGACCCAGTAGTTTGGCAGGAACGCAAGACGGCGCTGACAACTTGGCACTTGTTCCCATGTAAAACCTACTTATAGGTTTGGCACATGACCTTTGGTGCTCGCCCACCTACTTCGACCAAATAGGTTGATGTAACAAACCATGTCAATTAGAACTGTCATTCGACTTGTTTCCGGAGCACTCATATACGTGGAAGCAAACTACTGTCCGAACATTTGCTCCCAACAATCGAATTTCCCCCCGGAAAACACCACTATCAACATTAAAGTACCCATGTATAAAGTCTCCAGCCCTACAATGAATGGTTCTGTTATGCAAATGTGCAAGTATATTACCATCGTAAGTTTACCATTGCATGGGTTAACAGTTAAGCATCATTAGTCTGATCACAGTCTGGCATGCGAAGCACAATCCTGTCTCCTGCGTTTTGGGAAGTCACTTCATTAAACCCCGATAGAAACTTGCTGCAAAATTTCCCCCAGTAAAGCTATAAGCTAAATAATCTAACTGAATGCCACCTTCGAGAGTGCAATCTGCGTACTAGATGCACCAACACAAACCGACTGCAGTATCGTCCCTTGCAATACTGAATCTATCAGATGGCTCCACCAAAGTTGTGTGGATTGTCCCTCCTAGCCTTGGTGGATCCGGATATTCCTGCATGCTGTCTATGTCTTCTGCGCGGCCTTCCCAAAACTGGTTTGTTCCCAACACAATACAGGCAATTTGGGCAAACGATCAACCCAAATTCAATGTCAGAATTATAAACAAAAAGCTGTTAGGGGTTATGGAAGCGTATCAATAAGATGAGCAAGAAGTTTCCCTGATCTTTGAGTCTCGTAAACTTTCAACTGCATATGGTACTGTCGTCAAGTCAATCTTGTCACTCTAAGCGAAAAATCGATATATATATGCGAGAGCACTCACTCCCGGCACCAACGATTCGATTTATTTTGCTGACTACTAGGAGCCAATGGTGATATATCTCCATTCAGTTGATGCGAAGTTCGTCTTGCATTTCCAAACTGCGTCGCATGTCCATCACTGGATATCGCTCCGTTCGGGGTCCAGTTCAGAAAAATACCCAAATCTTTTCCATAATCATGGATTGAAACGTAGCCCCGCATTGGAAAAATGCTATCGCGCTGAAAATTGAAGAAAAAACTTTCATTGATGTGATAACATTGCAGTATATGAAGTTTTTGCTGTTTCTAGTTTTAGGTACAAACGTGATTGCCTTTATCTGCATAGTAATTGCGCGCTGTATGAATAAATACATTCGGCAGTCTGGGTCGGGTATAAAAACGAATATTTCATTACATGCATGTACACATATTTGCTTACACATATCTCAGTCGAACTGTCACACACTTATCCACTTGTATATTGGCTGTTACCATTCCAATGGAGTTATGATTCCGCTTCCAAGAACCTTGAGTTTTACTGGCTATTTGCACCAAAACAGCAAAATACTGGAGAAGCAGTCCTTGGGTTCTTTACAGGCATGCGTGATAGTCCTGTTCGCATCCATATGCCTTGTCAGGGGATCACCAATTTACAGTCTGTGTGGTAACACTTACTCTATTCGAGTACATACCTAAGTATCTAAGTAAGTCTCACAGAATCACCCTGTAAATGGCATGACATCAGAGTAGCTAACGGGATCAAAACCCAAGAGCTGGTAGTACAATCACATCATTCAACCGGTAGTCTTCCACCGCGGTCGCATAGTACGTACGTAGCCATGAACGAGGCGTGTTTAGTAAATTACACTACTACTACTATTAATATACTAAACTAAACAAAACTGAAAGGTGCATGTTCGGTTGGTTATGGACTAGTGCATACTTTAGAAAGGCAAAACAACTAACCAAGAGAGCAACGAATTCAAACATGCATTGGTGGGATCGCCCGCCCATGCTGGGCCTAGCGGAGGCAGGGGATATATATGCGTAAACTAAAAAGACTTGCCCTCTGTCACGAATCACGTTAGTGTTGGTACTACAGATCAGATAAGTACGCCGGTAGGTCCTTTTAGGCCAGTATTGTAGATTCTTAATCTAGTAGTCAAACAGACGCACGATCAAATCCGCTTCAATAATGGCATAAGAAAAACTGGAAAAGATGCCACTTAAGACCATTCACGTGGCCCTAAGAAGTAGAGGCACGTGGTCAAAGAATTTTGAGTAAAATATGGACGCTATGTTAGTTTTTCACGGTTTCTTCCTCTACTCTGATTTGTCCATTCTCAATTTGCATTCTGTTGGGTTCGCCCTCTTCTGGAGTGATTAGTTGGTTTTATAGACCTGCTTTCCTCTTTGTAATGGCTGGTGTCCCTGCGTCCGTTGGTTAATTCAGCACTTTGATTTTTTGGTCTGGCGCCTCCTCCTGTCAAACCTATGTACCCCTTTGAATCGGAGTTTCCCACTTCTTCCTCGACTGGTCCCTTGTACACTTTACGCCTCCATCGTTCTGGCGACCCATTGTAGTTAGTGGTTGCAGAATAGGGTCAGAATCAAAGGGTTTGTTGTTAGCTTCCTAGGGTAAGTCCCAAGATCCTATAACTTCACATTCTTTCTTCGTTCTTGCTTGTGAATTCAGCACGACAACCGTTATGTGGGCCAATGTGAACCAATAGTTTTAGAATCACAGTCGACGCCAAAATGGAACACTCAAGTATGCGAATAACTGAAATTGTTGGTTTGCCTCATGATCTTGCGTGGAAATGCGATAAAGTCGCAGCCATATTTGAGCCTACTGAGCTAAACTCACTGCCCAATAAACTAATTTGATGTATGAACATGAAAAAATCGATTTTCAAAATCCGTAGTACGTCATCTTTGTTACCTCTCCATTTAAAATGTGTCTTATTGCGCACCAACCCCAAATAGTTTTTACTTTCAGTAAAACTCCGATAGTCGGGAAGAACGATATTATTGTGGTACAGTATTCAAAATAAATAAATAACTGGATCTAAAGTCATATTTCCATGAAGAAGTGTTAGAAAAGAACATCCATGGTTTTGTTAAATTAAGTAAGAACACTTCAGTTGATCAAGTTTATCATAAGGGAGCAGTGAACAAACTTACCATGCATCTAGTGGTTTTGGAAACCATATTTTTGCGGTGATAAATGTCGTAATATTGTTTTGAAACATCAGGAAAATCGCCGAACTAAAGCATATGATGATACCTTGAGCTACTTCAGTTAACTTGTATGGTGACGGTAGCCGATCAGCAATTCAGTGCCACAACACATGAAAATTCCATAAAATATTGCTGATGAGGGCCAGCCATCAACGAGTTTTCGACAAGAGAATGTACCCTAGTCAAGATTCCTCAGGCACTCAGGTGGGAAGGTATGCACCAAATTATATGGTTTGGGTGACAGCCAGAATCCGCAACTTGCTATCGGGTTTATCAGGTTCAATGTCAAAATGGAGGCGATGAACCGTTACCATGCTCTCAGGAGCTTGAGCCGTTCGTGAACGAGTAAACGGAATGAAGACTAGAAAATATCACACCAGTAGTGACAAACGAATCCATTGATTTGCGGATACACATCCTTTGGCGAAAAAATGTTTCTTGATTATTCAAAATCGATCATCTGGCGCCAACTTTCGGAACGTCTTTGATCCACATCAAAGCAGTGGTGCTTGGAGTAAAGACCATAAAATTAAAACGACATATACTGTAGAATCACCCACCAATGGTCACTAGACGCCACCAACATAAAATTAAAAGAGAGTTTTAGCGTCTTTTCATGATCATCAGAGATCAATGATCTGTTCATTGTATACTGCGTGAAACACAAATAGCTGGATGACTGTTGCTTTCAGCACAGCATCGTTCGAACGTACTCACACATTCTTCTCGCAGTACAGGTTTGAAAACCGCATTATTTTTGGATGATATTGGATGAACAAATGGCAAACCGGACCATGTGCGCTATAGTGAGATAACTAAGACGTCTTGACAGGAATTGCCTGAACGCTGCATTTAGGGTGTGCTGTCCCAATTGAGACCAGTGATCCCACAGTGGTTACTAAATTCGGATGTTATTGTAGAATATGTGGACCAGTCGCACTTCACTGCTTCAAGCAGAGAGAAGTTTTTCCCATTTTCTAATCAGTACCTGTCGGAATTAGCTATCTTAAGGAGGACAGAGTTGTTAACCATGAGGTTATTGGAATGCTCCTGATCTTTGCATTATTCGATGTGAAGTGAGATTTGGCTGAAGTACGATGGTATGCCGGTGCCAGTGCCCATTGATGTGCCTTCATTGTTGTGTTGGCTGATGCGTTACATCAGACCTCTGAATCTTTACCCGCTGACAATATTCCCTGGTATCAGCGGCTAACAATCTGCAGAAAATCCAGCCCAGAACAAACCACCTGCGTCTCCTGCTACGCTCAGGCATTTAACGGTTTGACCACTGCTGACTCGCGGGTCTTCTTCGAATATCAACAATCCAGTGTCTCCGTAGAGTTGTGTGTTCTGCAGACACAAGACAACGCACACATATGAGCATTTCTTCCTGTTCAATAAGCTCTTGTTGCCAAGCTTTTCATTACTGATTTTTTCTGAGCTGCTTCAAAATTCAAAACGTCAATAGACAAAAGACAAAAGTCTGGCACACCAATCACATTGCTCAAGTGTGAACACGTTCGCCCGTTCAGATGTGAAGAAACTCAGATGCGTCCAACGGGCGTTGGGGATTAGTGGTTGCACGCTCGCCTCACATGTCAAATGTCCGGGGTTCAAATCCCGGCACGGCCATTGGATATGCACTGCTGATGAGCCCCAAGAAGAACGAAAATCGAGTCCAGTGCTTCCCTTCGGTGTGGACTCACCGAAATAATTACGCCAGAAGAGGAACACCACCGTTCAAACGAGAGTGGTGTGCCTATGAACAAAATACCTACCCCGCAAATCCCCAAAATTAAAACAAAATAGGCGTGCCCAACAATCACCCATCTGCTCACCAGCTGGATTTTAACAATAGCTGAATTCAAACTGATATATCTCGTTTATGGTATTCAGCTACCTTATTGTTAGTTAACTTCTGGAAAATATATCACAATAATTCAAACATCATCACAACTGGAACATGAGGCGGACTTTAGGCGATGCATTCCAGCCGAGTGTGCCATTGAGACCAACTAGGCGTGCGAGTGGATGACTAGAATTCGTACAATTTTGCTCTAAATAGGACATAAGGTTGACGAAATGTTGCGAACTATGCCTACATAATGAGCCTCAGGAAAGACGAACCCGGTCATGGGCTGCCGATTCCTACAAGAAAACGAGGTATGTTGTTATTGATCTTATTTCTTCCAGTCTGTTTATAGCAAATAAAAAGGATTTAGAAAGACATAGAAAACCGCACAACTTTTGTGATGATGGATAAGCTTTGGTGCACAAAAAACGGTAGATTTAGAGTCGTCATGGTTTGAAACTGCTAGGTGGAGTCTGCCAAATTCTTAAAAACAAAATTCTACTTTGTCAAAAAAAACCTTCCACAAACAAGTGTTTCAGAAATTCCCTCATAATCATTGCGTTTATGGCAATTATAGCTTGAAATGCCAATACTTGAGCAGTTACAGGCACCTCAAAAGACAATTTTACTCATTGTATTCGTATGGGGTTGTTTCAAAGAGAAGCCTCATGTTCGCTGCCTAAGACATGAAATTTTAGCACCACTAACAACTGGTTTTCAGTGCGCTGTCTTATCGTTCATTGTTCAAGACACTTAGGAACCATGCTGGACACAAAATTTTAGGTGACTCTGATACAAGGAAAGATTTTCCCATCAAATTTTCTTGCCATACATTTATAAAGATCAGATTCTTCCGAAATACGAAGAAATGCGTGATAGCAGTTCCTGATGAGAGTTAATCACCTCTTATGTAGAACAATATCTCCATAGTGTTGGTGTACATTTGTGCAACGTCCAATTTGAAGATGCGTTCCGTTTTGGCCACGCTATTGCTTTGATCCAACTTCAGGGGACACATTAGTTTTGGTAAAACGGTTTGGTGAATATCTTGAGTGAGTTCATCGAGAACATCATGAACTTAATGGAGCAAGGTAAATCTGATTTCACTGAAAAGGTAGTTTGCCGAACTTTTGTTTCATGCCACTAAATTGCCCGTGCATTCTAACACGGACACATTCAAGCACATCTTTCCAGACGCTTCGTCATCAAAATTGGTTGCATACGAAAAGTTTATTTTATTTATAGCTAATTTCGGAAAATTCCTTTGATAAAATAACTAGGTAGCGACCTCAAAAAGTTAGTATGTGACCTGTCTTCAACAGAAGTTGACCGGAGAAGCTTTGTTGAGTGCTGACTTATGAAGTGGTACCTTTCTGTAGAATATATCTGAAGAATCAGTTGTGAGATTCTTCGGGACGGTGCCTTAAAGAATTATAGAATCGGGTTCCATCGCGATCACTTTTCGGTTCGTCCTAGCGTCACAAAACTCATATGGTTACAGAATTCAGGTTCAGGGATTTCACCTCACCATAACTGCCCCCTTTTCCCAGTTTGGTGCCTTTGAAGTGCGATACAAACAGTCTTAAACAAAGCGTTCACTCGGTTCATGTGCAAAATCGAATGGTACTCTGAAGAGAAGAGGGGAAATATTTGCAAATAACCTCCTGTTAGTTATCCCAGCATAAATGTTTGAAGTAACTGTATCAGGAATTTGGTGGAAAGAGAGCGTAATATCAATCAGCCACAGGTTCTTTGTTTTCATCGAATTGTTCCAACCATATTTCGGTGTTTCGAGAGTGGTTTCTCAGTATTCACATTTTGACTACTTGGGTGTGCGAGTAGCTGAAAAATGTTTCTGTCCCTAAGTCGCATCGTCCCGCTTGTCATTTAGTGTTTTGATCATGGATAACGAATGTTAAATATTTATTCTGTCACTGTGGGATACCATCTCCGTCACTCTAAAGCATCATGTGCTGCAACCGCCTCTTAGTTTTTTTCTCGGAGGAAAATGCCGGCTTCCACGGCCTAATCATTGATCCATGAACACTTCCTAGTTTAGAGAAATTTCTCCAACCACATTCGACAAAACCGCTACCCATTTTGTTCATTCAGCTGGCTTTCACAGTGCTATTGATTTTGACAGTCTGCACGGTCTGCACAGCTGCCCACTGCACGATTTTGCCAATAGAATGTTGGCCTGCTAAAGACCTGCATGGCATTGCTCTGTGGGATACGGGCTTAGTTCATAAACTCGACAGAAGTTCATCCATGATATTAACCTAGATATGAGTTGGTTGCCACAACAATTGTCTCGGGAATAAGGCGGAGTTGTAGGTAAGGAATAGCTGAAATCATATAAAGGACAAATTGTGTGCTCAAACACGTGTTCGATCTCACCGTTTGTAGAAGGACGTTGTTCTTTCCGTAGACCAAAGTAGAACGAACACTTTGATGCATCGATTCTACGTGTTCCTTCGCGGCCAGAACCAAGTGACGCGGAGTAGCCGCTGCCGATGCATAGAATACACTACTTTGTCTTTCCAGATCAACCAAGACACTGTTTGTTGGACTACGATCCGTCATTTGTGAGATGCTTGTGGACGAGCTACGACGGCTGTGGTTACGGCTGTTCCACTGCTTCGGGACAGAGGAGACATTCTGCATGTAAAGGGAAGGCGAATAAAGAAAGTTGGGAGTTCTGAATTGAAAAATTTTCCAAACGTTGCAGAACGATCTCCTACAATTTTTCGAGAGAAAGCATGCCACGCGGTAGAGTGAAGTCGGTTCATTTTTATCAACTTTCCTTCATTACGGGACAATATTCACCACAAATAAAAACAAGGGAGCCTTGCAACCATCCGCCCCAAGGTCCCGCTCGTTTTCTTTAGATCTTTTTTGGTGAGCAGTTACAATCTTTCTCGTAAGACATTTAGGTAATTCTGTTGATACATCAGGCTTGCCTTGGTCAATGGTCAACCGTATGATGAGCGGACATTTGGACATTCGTGCCTATTGGCTTGATCAAATCTTCGAATGCTGCATGCCACAAACCGTGGTAATTGACTGCTGTGGCGAGGTTTTGGAATGTTGGGGGCATACATTTATGTCACGGCACCTCCGCACATTGCCCCCTAGAGAATTGGAGTAAAATGTGGTAACTTGACAAAACAGCGTTACCGATTCAAGCACAGGCTACTTCCAGTTAAAATGGATTGTGATGTGATTCTTAGTCATCGGAAACTCAGTTGCCAAGAGCACATTGGTCAATCAGTTCAAAGATTACAAACTCGATTTTTGGCACCTAACATATCCATCCTCAGCTATAGCACTTTTCAGGTAAGTGCAAATCTCAGTCAGCATTGCACAAATTCCATCTGACTGTTTTCTCAGATCTAATTTCAGTGCCCAAGCTGTGGAAGAGGACGGGCAGCCTAACGGTAATTAACAATGGTCTCCAGGAGGCGAACATCACTGTGGACAGAGGCCACCACACATTGGCCCAACGCTTACGTCAACGTCCCAAGGCAGAGATAGGGTCAGCTTGCTCCACGAAATTTCTGTCTACATAGTATCACCATCATAGACAGCAAAGAAGCACTGTTGACACTGAGGATTTCATGTAGTACACTTCCTTCTCAGGTGCATGATAAGAACTCCATCCTAGGTCGAGCAACGCGCACATATGCTTCGTCTGCTGCAGTAGTGATAGCCGGGGTGCGTTGATTGGCCATTGAGCAGGTGGAAGTTGATCTGTTCACCGAAATTGTCAACTGACTTGAAAACGCCTCTTCATCACTCATCAGCGCGCGACTGCTTTGACAGGACCCGACCGTGCTCTCGGAATATCTCCTCGATTGATGACAAAATTTTGGCAAGCTAATTTGCATGATTGGCGATATGATCGACAGCCAGCATCATTCGTATGGATAACCAGGCACACCGAAAGGAGCAGCTATTTGGTTTTGCCGTTACGTCTATGGTAATCCGATACTCACTGCCGTGTGCTTTGGTGAGTCATTTATCACAAACAATCGGAAATTCAGCCGTAACGGACTGTTTTATCTCTACTGTCATCAGTTAAGATACTGGTCACGTCATAAACTCATCACCTTCGCAACTGTCTCGTAACTGTTGTAATGTGTGGAAGATAGACAAACGGCACCAGAGTGAATTTTGAGTTAGTATGTACTGCTAAACAACAAGACGCCTAACTCAAGCGAAAACCCAAGAGAATGTGCACCCATAGGGGGTCGTCTGTTCGGTTAATTCGAAGGACCTTTGTACACAGAAATCTAATTTACTCACGAACGAGTTTAAGTGCAGACAGCGGCTCTACTGCGTACTGCGCACTGCCTTAGCTAGGCACCTTCTATGACTTTTCAAAACAAAGACGATCGGCCCCATCAATTTCTCAGCTACAGGAATAACATGAGTAATCAAAGTCATCCGGGCATGCTTACCGCAGAATCAACAAATTCCTTTTCATGATAAATAAGGTCTTCTCTGAAATCCTCTTCGTTCTCTAGAGCAGGTGAGACTCTTGCACAAAGCTCCGGAGTTGAAAGCGCACGAAAGTCGTTTGGTTGAACCGCATGTGTCTGACATGATGGCGCTACATAAGACAAGCCCCTCGACATGAGACTACCATGGATACCGTGACGTTGAATAAGTTCAGATACAGGTGGGTCGGTAAACAAGTGATCTGTAGTTCTTGTCCTAGAATAGTCGATTGCGCATGGTCCACCTTCGTTGAAATAGCAGGCAAGAATGGAGTAGATTGTATATTTGCGGACAAGATAAAGCATGCTATGATGTTTTTAGCCCTTAAAAAAGATACCATCTGACTAGTGGAATAGAGCTTCAACTTGACCATATTCGGAACAAAACAGTGCGTTGAGTTCATCTAATTTATGCCCCCTGTAAACAGTTACAAAATATACCTCCGTATGAGAAGCCAAAAATGTCATACAAGAAAGTAGTTCGAAGTCCAGTTTAAAGTACAGCATAGATAATGTCGGAACGAAGTTTGTCACTTGTGCCGTAGGATATGCTTAGTTCCAATCGACCTTCTGGTCAGATTATTTCATTGATCGTATGGCATGTGATATGGACAGAAGAGAGTACTATACGTACGATCACAACAACGTGTCCTCTCCATAGTTGTTCCTGTCCATTCAGCTAATCTCAATCGAAAAGTAGTTTTATCCTCGTGAACGGTGATTTGGTCCCGCATATGATCAGCCAAATCTTCCTATTTGTGTTTTCACAATTAAAAAGTGATAGAGAAGTGATTTAGGAATAAAATTACTTTACCATGAATCCCTGGTATTCTTATCACAGGTAGTACTACTAGCGTTCACACTAACGCATCAAAAGTCATAAGCGTAGAAAATCCGCCCTAAACACAAGACAGAAATTCCGAAAACAAAGGGAACTTGCCACTGTTTTTACTCATCTGCATACCAACAGAACAAAAGTCTCTGGGTTACGAATCCATGTTGTGATGTGAACAAAGTGATGCTCAGGCCATCCTGAAAAGTGAACCTTGATAAACTTTAGCCTCGACATACTTATCCCTCATCTTCATCTTCTTCATCTCTTCAACTCAACATAGCTACGCAGGACAACTGTTGACCGGCCGACTAATGGTTCCACCTACGTTAGGAATCACTAAATAGGTCATTAGGCCAAAGTTCTGTAGGTCTAGTTTCTTAACTGAACAAAGCATTAGACTATGTGCATACAAGCACCCCTGTGCAATTTAATTTAGTGAGATGCAGACAGGGGGAAACCAGTATGTCTCATCAACTTTATACGTAGTGACCGCAGTAGACGCGGAGCAGACGGCAATATACGTTCGGAAAGCAAGGATAGACCTAATTTGGAGACGTGATTTAAAACCAAGCTGTCAATTAGCGCATAGCAACCGGTGAAGAGCTATTAGTAAATATCGCAAAGATTGACCAACAGAAAGGTTTGCCAGCCAGTAAGCCATAAGTGAGAACGATCAGTTTGCAGGAGCCGGAACTGCGCATAGGAGCGCCTATCCCCAGTTACCTAACCAAGGCATCGATGAAACGCGGGTAGCGAACGGGCGATCAGAGATTACGTCTGGGTTCGGAATCCAGACGGTCGTGTGCATAATGCTATGTGTGTGAATAAATCATTGCCCAACTTTCCAGCTTTGTATTACAGTTGTATCAACAACACAGGTAGAATCACATCACCACAGATCTGGTCATTATTCGCCTACCTAAATCCCTCACCAACCAAATCCAAGATCCTTAAATATCCGACCAGTAAACAATGCAAGGTACTGTGAGCACTGTCATCCGAAGATGAGCAGTTCAGACGTCCAGCTGTTCAGACAACCCGACGAACATGAGTTTATGATGAACACGAGAGTTTATATCAGCCTCACTTTCCTATATTCATCAGAACTTAGATGTCTATTCGTCTATGCAATGCATCAGACAAATTCCAATGTTCCGCCTAGGATTTTGTGACATACGTGCTTTCTGAAGCGTGAGCTGCAGTTTCTGAATGAAGCGCGAGTGCTAAACAGAGCTATGATCCTTGCGTTTTATGTATTTACAGAAAACTCAATGAGTTTGTGTGTGTCGACAGCAGTCCTGTAAGCTACCATTTGAACCAAGGTTATTAGAACCTTCAAAATTCCTTTACCAAAAAAAAGAATCATCACATTTGTCGTTGTCACAAGAGCTATGATCCTTGCGTTTTATGTATTTACAGAAAACTCAATGAGTTTGTGTGTGTCGACAGCAGTCCTGTAAGCTACCATTTGAACCAAGGTTATTAGAACCTTCAAAATTCCTTTACCAAAAAAAAAGAATCATCACATTTGTCGGTTGTCACAATGTGTGGGGGAACTTCCAGGTAAACAAACCCATCATCTAGAGGTATGGCGAACAAATTGCATTCGAGAATTCTGGTTCCATGGAGTTTGCGTTTAGTAAAGGTGCGTAGGAAAATCAATATTTCTTCATGTTTCAGAGTGTCAACCATATACATACATTGTCGGTATCAGGTCTGAAAGAGTGCAGAGATATGAATGGCTTGGGAGAACCCAACGTACTTGTTTCTCTTACACTCACGCCTGATGGCTCCCCACGGATTTCTGCTCGGGTCGGAAGCAAGTACGTACATGTGCACCGCAATCAAGAAACACAATATGCGGACCGCACAGCCGGAAAACTGTCCCAATGGCTGCGGATAAGCTCAAATTATCCGTTTGGATTGCGAGATTTCTCGGGAATTACAACGATCAGTCCCAGAACATCACACATACGGTAGTTGGAATCTATCTATTGGTTTCTTGAACAATGCTTCACATATCGAACCCAGGCGGCAAAATAGCTCACCTCGCATCTCTCTTATTTATGGGGTAGGGGATGAAATTTACTTCTGTGGCTTCCGCTTCGACATCAAGTACTCTGTTTGAAATAAGGTTGTCAACAATTGCTCGAAAATAGAGGTGATTATATTAAAGTCAATCAACACCTTGAAAAAAAGCGAGATTAGCACTTGAGAAAGGTTTGGAGGGCTATTAAGATGGGATAGAAGAATGAAAAATTTACGTAATTTCAACCTATTTTATTCTACCAATAACTAAGACCACCTAATTGAACTGAGTTGAAGATTTGAGGAAAAACTAAAGTTGCGAATAAGTGATACTTTGTGTTCGCAAATCATCAGCTACCCACCATATGTGTTTTGATTTTATTTTGTTCTAAAGCAACGAATCCAAAGTGACCAGTTGCAACCAACACCTGTTGAGGGCGGAATTAGGAACTCAGCTCCAACAGCCACGCGTTCAACCACATTATGAGTAACCTCTGACCCTCCACATGTACATGCTAGTGGTCATTTTCGCAGATATCGCCTGAAGGCACAAGAGAACGGTAGTACCTTCTGCAAGGGAATCTACTATTGGGAACTAGTTCTAGAGACTACACACAAACAAACACGAACAAAGAGTAGATTCCATGTGGTTTACGAGCCACAACAAGACAAGGGACTAAATGAGGTAAAGTATAACTGTTCTTTTTCAGCGTATTCGGAGGTCGTTCTTCAGAAAAAGAGTGATTCTCGGTTAATCCCCCGAATCCTTCTTGAAAGAGATCAAATTCGTTAGTCTGTAGGAGATAGATGCAATACTAAACCAAGGAAGGTTTTGGTAAAAAGAACTTTTTTCAAGGTCCCATAATTCTATGTATTATTTCAAAAGATACAAAATACACACACAAAGACACAATATAGAACGGAAAAGCCTCTTTCTTTGTGAGCGAACACAACAGTTTGACGACATCCATATCGAGTGACCGTCTACAAAACGGTGTCCGCAGGTCACAGTATACAGCCAAGTCTGTTCTCGTGCGTTGTGCAGTTTCGACTCTCACTACCAATACTCAAAAAGACCACGATAAACTCGGATCTTCAGGCGGAAGCTGATAACATTTTGCTGAGAATAAGGTCAAAAAATTTGCTGAGACCACGAGTCATAGAAATAATCATCCTCGTGAACTTGGGGAAAAATTACCAATGTATACTAAGTAAACATAATGTTTCCATCGAATTCGATGGTCCTAGGCCCATGTGATTGATTCGGTCTTCACTCAGGATAGTTTGATGACCAGCGTTGCGAAAATCACTTCCGGTGTTTTCGTGTACTTCAATTGCGGACTGGCAAAGCTGAGTATCCAGACGGTCAGTCAAATAATGTGAAACCGTAAAGAGTTATGTGAAACGACCATGTTTATCTTTTCAACGTGTGGGAAGCTTAGAGAGACAAAGTCGGTTGTTTCCTGATTTGCGGCGATAATATCTTGTTTCCTGTCCACAAACGAGGCTCAAATACGAATCCCAAAGCCGATTTCGGCAGGTTGGCACTGGAGCTGCAAGTGAGCTGTTACCTATCGAACCGTCTTTACATTAATTAGAAAACTAAAGATTAAACAGCCATTTAGAGAACTTACGCAAAAGATCGGCCAACAATCTTCCGTCACACGGATCAGAAAGAACAGCGTACGGCTCATAAAATCGTCTGAAAAGAATTTAAACAAAACGTCCGGAACGGAGTGATCAATATATTCAAATTCAACTTACATCATTTAAAAAACTACGGGGAAGATTTTGACAAAGGCGGCTAGTTTTTCTTTTCAGTTTCAGCCGCCTATGGTTACTAGGTAGCTTAGTTTCACCATAATACAAGTCTTTTAGTTTAAACTCTTGATTAAACCCATTATGAGGATGGACCAGGTTGTCTATCGCAGTAAACTACTGGTTGCAACTGGTCATACCTTTCGAGTAGATTTCATCCTGTGAACGGCGTGCGCTGGTGAGGTACGTCACACTCTCGTAAAAACAAACTCAACAAATGACGACTAAAAACTTCAAAAAGGCCAAAAGGCCCTCACTAACTGGGCTAAACGGTAACAGAGCAGTATAGAACTACTGATTGATGCTACTGATGGATGATTTTTTAGACATTACTCAAGCGCCATTCATATCACGAAGAATGCCACAATCCGCTAAAAACTGCGAACTGATTCCTTAGGGTGGATAGAACGTTGCCCTTTCGGATTTTATTAGTATTGAACTGAATGAGTCAGGTCTAACACCGTCCCGCGACCAAGTGTCGTGTCTCCATACAGAACGTTGGGAAAAAGAATGCCATTCATAACAACTGCTTGCAATTTTGGTAACAACGTGTTGGTTGATTTCGGATCTCCCAATCGAGGATGCTAACTGGTCTGCAGACAATTATCAGTCGAGATGACGCCGCCGGGGCGTTGTTAGGACCTATATTGTTCTCTCTTGGTAAGGCTTGTGGATGTGGATTTTAGACCCATCTCACTCGTAGTATCCTTGGTTCGAGCAGGATCTCCAATGCGACGTGGCCTCACATTCTTAGAGCTGATTGGTCCATTAGGTTTCAGATTTTGAATTCATCTATCCTCTTTTCTGATTGGAAAATTTGTGTTGATTTATGGTCTGAATTTCCGTTGTTTGAATGGTTAACATTCTCTCTTTCAATTTCACTCATCTTTATCCTGCTATCGGTTGGTCCACTTACAGTGCATGATGCTTTTTCTCGAGTCCGTTTGGTCGTTCTCCAACTGTTCTGAATAGCTTTACTTACTTGTTGCTCCTCGTACATTATCGTTTATCTATCTATCCCTTGAATGGGTTATTTACCGGCACTTCTTAGATTAGTTCTATTGCCCGTAGATTTATGTTTCTGGAGTTCCTTTGTCCTCAAAAGTTGACGGAGGGTGTTTGTTGACTGCCTTTCATCGTAGTGCTAGCATCGTTGAAAGATTTCAATGTTTCTATAATCTGATTTGTCCACGAATATGATCCGAAAATCTTCGTTGGTCGGTGGAATGATAACTTCCAAGCCTTCTTGCATATTGCTTTCTTAAGATTCTTCTGAAATGAATGAAATTTCCGTTTTATTCGATGGTTAATACGGCGGTTGTGAGGGTCGATGGATTCGTTCGCTTTTTTCGGGTTTGTTAAGTAACCTAAATTCGTAACGCACTTAGAATATACATTAACTAGTTCTACGAAGTATTTCTGTCCCTTCAATTTCAGTTACGTACTTTGATTTTCTCCTCAAATTTGATTATTATATTAGTAGTCTCTCGGGCAGTGAATCGGACTCAACGATTCCCTAATGTACCGGTTTGCTGCAAGAAGCAGATACTGTTGATCCGGAAAAGACATTTGTTTACTCTACGGTGATTCTTCCGTATTTTTAACGTGGTTATGCGCATTAGTAATCCTTTCTGATGAAATATGGGAACAAATTGCTCTGAAACTACAAGGCCTAGTACCGTGCAAGGATTCAGAAGAGATGCCACCGAAGAGAATATTGAAATTCACATCCAGAGGACACATGAATCTGAGTGCAATATGCGATTCGCGACAGACAGGTACAACGGGAACCAGCGAACTGAAAAAGCTAAGGAATAGTGACTAATAGAAGGAAAGGTGTGAAAAACCTCCCAAACAACGTACGAAAAACAGACAATATATTTGAATGGATTAGTCACAGAAGAAGACACAAGTTTCCCGTGCAAGGTAGACGGTGAATAAGTGAAGCAGCAGAACAACAGAACACGTGGATTGATGAACTAAAATGAGTGTATCTAACGAACCAGTCAAATCCAGGAAGCACAGCACAATGCGACGCGGACTGCGCGTGAACCGATGATTCTGTGAGTAAGATTATTTCAACTGCATGTGAGAGAAGCCGTGTGGAAACGCAAGGAGGAAAACAAAGTACACACACCCAACCGCGGGATAACGATATCACCATGAATATGTATATGCCAATATACATAAGCTGTCAATTTTTTTGAACAGATCACCAATCTACGCTGTCCTCATAAGTACACACTCTTAAAATCCCGTAACCACCCACAGGAACTCGTTTGGACACTCGTTGCGCAGTGTAGATGAACTCTAGCACAGCAGTGAATGGATTAAATGTTCAAATGGCTGGACGGAATGGGAGGGTTACTGCTTAAGATGGATATGGACACAAATTCCACAAATCACGCGGGTAGCTAAGGTTTTCACGTGACATATTGTGGTAGCGTGAATGATTTCTGTTCGGTTCCGAAAACAGCGGAAAATGCGTAGAAATCAACTTTTCTTGTAACACGTGTCAGTCATTAAATGATCAGACACCTTAAATGTGGGAAAGATATCCCGATGCTGTCTGGTTGCGACTCCACATATATTTTATAGTACACGCCTAATGCCTTCCAGGCACATAAAATTCCCTCTGGCTCTGAAGAATGGGAGAAATTTTGCCCCAGCTTCCAGAAATTCCTGCGGATATTTTGTCCTGAGAGTGAAACTGGGCCGAAAAGCTAGAAAGTGCTGTATAACTGTTGCATTCTTATTCTGAATTGTACACACCTCTCGACACCCTTGGGAATTCTGAACTTTGGACCTTTCGGACTAGTGGTTGAAGACCAAACCTTTCGGCTATGAGTGGCTTCTCACCAACGTGAGAAACTCGAACTTTGACAGGCCATAGCTCCACACAGAAATCTGTCAGAGTGAAATACGTTCCCAGATGTGACTACTGATTATGTGCTCTAATCAAAAGCATAAAGTTTAGAACGTGGAGGGGAGGAGATTTCGAAGCATTCAAAATGCTGCAGAAGAGCGTATCACCCGATTCTTCTACTCATATTTACTGCACGCCTTAGTGGCGCTGTCAAGGTGGTTTCAACACGGTATCACCCAAATGTTCTTCATCAGTTTTCAGCCGAAATCGCAAAGTAACTACACGATCAGTTTGAATGTGCTCTAAACTATAGTTTGAAATCGTGCACTGGGTAGTAGTGATACAATTTGCAGAGCAAAATTGTAGGAGCTGGATACACATCATCTTTGCGTATTTGTTGTCCTGAGGATATTAGTGTGATATACTGAAACCAAAAGCGATGCCCCCAAATAAAGGTGATGATTTTCACAAAGGAAACTACTCACGAGGTTACTGCAAACTCCTCGACAGCCCTCGACCGCTTTCGCCCTTCTCGGGGCTCATCAAGTGGGCACAGTTCCCGAGTTTTCGTCAACCTTATGTTCGACTTGAACCCAAATTGGACTGTTTTCAAGAAATACACTCATTTGCAAATCACTTTGGTCTTCACGAAAGACTCATACGAATCTCTCGTTTATTATATTCTACAACTGAATGTGCTGCACACAGGCCGCCTCATGTTTGGGTTGGGACGATATTCGAGATATCGTAGTATATTTTCATAATGGAAACTACTCACAATGTCGCTGAAAACCCTTCGACCGTTGTAGAATATCATAAACGACAGATTCAGCTGGTATCCCGTGAAAACCAAATTGATTTGCAAATGAGTGTATATCTTGGAAACGTGATGGTTGTTTATGCTTGTGCATGAGGTGCGTTTCGGAAAAGTTTAGCGATAGATCACTTGTCATGAATCGAATGACCAAAATGTGGTGTTATAACCTGTCCACAATTGAATCAGTTGCGTTGCTGGTCAGCTAATCGTGGGCCCCACCCCATGCGCGATATTGATGATTCGCATCAAGAATGAGACACCTGTGTGATTCTTTTGGTTTTTAGCCCAGATACAAATGAACTGGGTAGTGAACTGAAGTTTTTGAAAATAACAAGACTCTCAATATTTTCTAGTCCATTTCAAATATTTTCCCATTTTCTGTCACGTGTATTTATCAGCCAATACGGGCAAAGGCTTTGACAATTTTTTTACTCCGTGTAGTACATTGAGCAAAGAACACCCAGAATGCACGAGGTAAATCACTTTAGACAAAAACGCCAATGAATTCAACAGTGCTAACAGGAAAAAAATTTTCTCCGACTCACTCAGCGTTTGTTGCCAAATAGAAAATGATCTTGTCTAACACCTTTTCCAGCAAGGCGACACGAATCCAGAAGTTTTTCATCTTTGGGCCCGTCCGATTCATTCTGAATAGTTGAAGGGGAAAATAATATAAATTTTTTTCTGAACAGCGATTGATCGCTTACTGACAAAAAATAACGTTTATTTGAAGGTTTAAACAACTCCATGTCCTAAGATGTAGGATTCGTACAACGCATACTATCCGATCCCAGAAACATGCCCATACGAACACGGATCAGAGATTTCATTCTCGTTAGCTGGAGGCGGTACAGCGAACCTACCACTCTTCCGAAAAGATTAACGGATCGCTCTGAGCGTTAACTCCAACAGGATCGCAAAACATATAGTTAACAGCTCAAAGCAGCATAGCAGCCGTGAGTCACACTGGTTCACATAGTCAAGATGACTAATGCTGCCGTCCATACACCGAAGGATGAATCTATTAAGATATGATGAAGATGTAAAAGTGTTTAAGCGTCTACCTGTGAACAAGAAAAAGGCGTTTTGACATGGTTTTAGGTCATTAGTCACCGTCTGGCATCGCTCCAATAGTTGCCCACTAATTAACGGAATGTAGATACAAAATGTTTCTAGGCTTCGTGGCAGCGGTTCCTCCACGAACTGCCCATTGTCCGAACCAGTCCGGCTTTACACAAACCGGCCAAGATGACCGTGCTGATCATGCTTAACACTGGTCGTGCGCCAGGCAAACATCATCTCAGAAAAGGCAAGGAAAGGTTCTTTGAAGAGGATTTCATTTGTCTGAATCAGATGAAACAGGAATGCACAGCTTGAATCTATTCTATGGGACAGGACAATTTATCTGTTCACCTGTTACATTAGAAAAAAGCATGTTTCGCACTAAACAAATCTTCGTATTTCGTGAAGACAAAACTGTATGACATGCCAGCTAGTATTTTTCGGACTGGTAGACGTGTTTTTCTAGGATTCAAAGTTCTCTAGTTCACTGTAGTGAAATTCCACTGCGATCAGTTGAATTGGGATATGCATTCTCGTCTAAAGTGGCTGCCAAAACTCCAAGGGACTTATCTACTAAAAATCCGGATATCCTGAAAAAGACTGACTGAGACGACAAGCTACTTGGCTACCAAGCAGTCGTTCAGCAGATGGTGAAGGATCAAAGGCGGTCTATTGTTCAAACTGCCGCCAGTTTTGAGTGAATTATGAGGGCGCACCCGATAAGTCCCAAATATTAGCATACACACGACATCAGAGATATCTTTATTCTGATTTAAGAATTCAGTCATCCACACCGAAACATGGGCGATTTCCTGTTTGACCTTCAAAGTTTTTACCAATTGAGGAAATCTTCATAGAAGGAAATGTTCTTGATAGGGGGTTGAACCGCTCTCCATCAAGGGCTTAATTCAACTGCTGTGCAAAGACTTCAGCAATATTTGGTATTCTCTAACCCGTCATATTTGGCCAACGAAATAGGACGGCGGTGAGAACGTTTATAATCCACAGTAGCTTGGTCTCCCTGCGAACGCCTGTCACGTTTCAAACATATATATTTTTCGAACGATATGAAACCCTGTTAGTCGAAAATTCCTTGTTGCTATGATAAAAGCTGAAGGTTTCAATCGAGACTCCGTCGTGTAGTGCATGATAGCCAAGAAACACTCTATAGCTCTTTCATTTTTGTTTAAATTTATCGGCATTGTAGATCTTACGAATCGCCAGGGCGATTCAAACTCGCGAACTCCTGGCCAGTGTTCCAGGACAACACCGTTTGGCCATGAGCGGTTATTAGGCAGTGTAATCGATTCACGCTTAGAATAAGGAGCAACTAATTTTCCAGTCACGAAATTCATATCACGAGATCGTCTGGTGACTGATAATTTGTCACTTCAGGAGTCAGTCAACACGTGATTACGTGAAGTGTACCCCTGGCTGAAGAATTAAGTGGCGCTACAACCAAGTGCGAATTGAACGCACTGCTGATCGGCCTTCCGTGGCCGGACGGTTTGATATCGAACTACTGGCAGTGAGGTCACGGGTTCGAGCTACCCGGGAGATTTGTAAGAAATGCACTGCCAACGACTCCCACAAACTTTTAGACAACTGCAGAGTGGTTCCTGGATTTTCCGTATGAATTCAATCACAGGAAGAAACGTAATGAAATAATGTATAGCTACCTTTTTCGCAACAAACAGTTTTGTCAGTGACAACGAAAACAAGGGTGAATTCTGCGAGGTGCCTTGGAACAGTGTTATGAAGGACATTGCTGATGCAAAATAACCCCATCTTTCCTCCTATCACATCAAGTTACAAGAAGCAGGTAGGGAGTTGATATTTTTATTTATTCTCATCCAGATTTACAAAAAGAACATTAACGATATTATTATTTTTGCTTCTGACGAATAATATTCGCCTCCAGTCTTGTGCTTTGAGTCTTACGGGTCGAATGACAGCTCGTTGTTCCTATGGCGGTTGTAAGGACATCCAGGTAGCAACGCCAAACAGACTAGTCCAGAATGAACTGTGGGTCCATTCAGCCATAAGGTGCAACCAAATGCTTTGCCGTCAGCAAGCAAAGGGCTTTATCAGGGAACAAACCCAGAACGCAGAAGGTTGGAAACTGAAGAAATTTGCGTTAATTTGCAAAATATAAGCACCAGAAATTGAGGAATCACTCCGAAAGCAAATCTAATATTGTGTTCTGTTAGCTGTAACTCAGAGAATCAAGAACGTGCCTCGCTTTGCACATTACTTTGACATTGGGTTCTTCATTCTCACTTCATAAAGGCTGTTTATTCCCGACGTGCCTCAATGACAGTCACCGAATATTTTTCTACTCATGAGTAGCTTGATCCTTACCAGTTCACCGTAATACCATTTATGGTTTCAGGACACCTATCCACCGGTTTATTTGCCACATGCTTAAGTTTTGCTTACTAATGTCTAGATACTGTCGCCTTCCCCTCTTCGCTTGAGCGTTTGCTTCGAAGAGAAAGTTGGCACGACGGATCGAACTTAGACTGCTCGGATGCAGACCAGTGCGCTACCCAGTGCGCCAACTCGACTTGTCCTGCAGCCCTATTTTTGTTTTACCTTTGTATTGTATCCTATCTGATAGCGGTCGCTGGCATTTAGTTTTAACTGGGCCTAAGTGCGCACCGCGATTTGACACATAGTGCGTGATACTTTGCTGAACTATCGGATGTTGTTAATTATTCAGGTTGGATTCGTGGACAGGAATAAAGAACGAAGGGGTTGTCAATGCCCACCTTTCAAAATTCAGTAAGTTCTAATCAGAAGTATGATTCATTCATGTAAAAACCGCAGTTATATTTAATTTGTGTCAAATTCAGCGGATACTCGTTCCCCAGATAACCTCCGTTCACTGTTGAATCGAAATTTCCTCGCGAGCGTCCTGACTGTATTCTGTACCGTTATCCCCTTATAACGCTTATTTGCACTCTCTGGTCGCCCATATCCGCATGTCTGTACATCATATGGCTCTTGCTCTCCATTGCTATCAAAAAGCCCTGTCGCTTCACTGCCCCTTTCTCAGCGTCTGTTTATTGTTCTATTGTTGATTTCAAGTTCTACCACATCCGTGATGTTTATTAACCCGGTGGTCCATAGAACGTTTTGTCGGTACAATGTCTTCTGCATTCATCCGTCTGCTCCGTCAGCCCGGTAATTTCTGAGTACCCACTGCGTATGATCCGGTAGATTCAGTTTTCCTGTAAGGTCCAAAAAGCTTACTACGGCCTTCAGCTATTGTTCGCAACCACTGCCGCATATACTCTCTGTACACTTGATGAGCTAAGATGCCACACGCTCTCAGCCATGTTGAAATAAGGATCGCAAGTTGATCGATTCAAAACGTTCGGGTGATGGGAACAAAACCCAAGTGTTGATGGGATAAGCCGTGTGAATTTTCGTGTCAATTTGTTTAAATGTGCAGTCGTCCTGGGCAATTGTGTAGAAGAGTGGCAATCCCAATTGTTTTAATATCCGGGTGTACACATCACATTCCTACTGTTTGCTCATCACCGCAAATTCGCTCATCTTACAGATTCCAGAGAAAATCTGAACGGGTCCACCGACTGAAATTGGTATCCTTATGCATGTGCCTTTTAAAACTCGATGAATATGACCTGTAGAAGATGAACGCTTTCAGTCATCCATGAGTACACAGCTCTATTACAAATTCTATGTAAGAGTGGATTTAGCCCAAGACGCCAGAAGCGAACTGAACGTCGTTTGAGCAGCATATACGATCTCATAACCATCAGTAAGGAACCGTATTGGAGTGCTGCCACTTTTGCAAGCGTCAAATGGATACGCCGGTCCCAAACACTGTACTGATGCACTCACAAACAAACAAAAGGATTTCCCAGGTTATAAACGAACGAAATGGTGGTAGTGAACGTCTGGTCAGAAACAGATATGTGTATCCTTGCAATGAAACTTGATACTGCTCTTAGCTACCGCAGAAAGACCACAGAGTTAGCCACTCTGTCGAGCCGATGCAAAACACTCCTCGTCGTTCGACCAGATCGGTTTTGGTCACATCGCAAACTGACGGAGAGCAGGTAAGGCACCCTGTTCCATGAAGTGTACAGGACTATATGAGATAGTGCTCTAGAATGAGCAAAACAGAGCCCCAAAAACTGATTTCCGTTTGGTTATCTCTAAGAGGGTGCTTATGCGATGGTTCTCCGAACGTGATCGAATCTCAGCTAGTGTCAGACTAACATCTCGACTAAGCCACGATTTGCCTGCTACTTGACTGAGGCTGATGAGTTGTCCTCAGAAGCCCACAGGACAAGCAGATGGACCATAGTTATCGAGTATTTCACTCCACTACTCGGTCGGAAGAACGAATCCTTTTTAGGTTAAATGTTCTGGTACTGTTAGAGTATATGTTTAATTTTTAACACTACGGTCATAAAGAGGGCGGCCTCAAAACTGGGGACCAGTTTTCGTCTACTGTCAACTCATTTCAACAAAAGAGCACCAGAGGGACCTCACCTGGTGGTTAAAGGCTGTTGCTAAACCGAACATATCGAATTTTGTCAATTATTGAAGTTGTACTGGTGGACAGAAATAAAAAAATGGAGGGGTTGTCAATGTCCACTTTTCAAAATTCAATAAGTTCCGATCAGAAGTATGCTTCATTTATGTCAAATGTGTAGAACAAGTCTAAACCAAAGTAGTATCATACACTTTACTGTTTGCGTCCCATTAATGCATTAGTCTGCAATTGTGTGCTCACAAGGCAAACAGTACGTGCATCTGAATACACTAGATGTGGCTTAATCAAAGATTATTAAAAAGACCCCCATTAGCTATTACTATTGAACTGAAACAGCGGTTGATCAGAAAATAACCCACATCACCAGGAAGTTATCTGTCAAAGACAGTTGTTCTCTAGTGAGAGACGCCTAACAAATATGCGCCACACAAATTCAAAGCAGCCAGTCACGTGCCCAATTAGCAACATGTAATGCATGCGTAGGTCCAAGCTACACAATTTCTGCTGGTCTGTTCAGGGGGGAACAGTGTGCTTAAAACTGAATGCGTGAGCATTTTTGAGGGCCTACTTGCACAAGTGTGGAAGGATGCAATCACAGATAATAATGAGGAACGTACTTGCCCGTTGATTTTGCTGATGATGTCCGGCTAACCGATCGACGGGCTTGAGCTTGTTTGATGGCCTTGAGCGTCATATCACGTGGGCGATGATCTATCGCACCATTCATCAGACTTTCGGAAAAATCGTAGGTGGTCCTTGGTCTAGCACGTGGGATAGTACCATGTGTCCTTTGGTTGACTGATTTAGATCCCCCTGGCCAGGTCACTGCATTCTGATAATACTCAATCCGATCAATTGTGCGTTGAGCAGCTGGACAACTTTTCGAAATTCTCCGGCACAGTGCCAACGTGGATTTGTCTTCAAACATACTGAACCAGTTTTGCCGAAGGCCATGGCTAACGACGGCTTCAACAGCAGCTGTCATTTTACGAAACACAATGGAAATCTTGCTGAACCGCTGACAAAAATGTCTAGAGCAAAAGAATGCTCGGAAAACACTGTGAACAACTACGAGAAAAAATTCCAAGTATTTGTGGGAATTAAACGCTGATGTTAGATGTAGTATTCTCATGCGTTTTTCAACCTTCGTCATGACTCAATGAAGTTCCCTGTCCCTCTAACGCCACAGTGTCAATGTCATTCACCTTAAGGGGATATGAATATTCAAACGAACTTAACTTCAGGAAACATGCTTTCCCAATGATTAGCTCACAAATTCTCAGGACAGTCTCCCGTTATACAAACTAACTAAATTTTGGCCTCCCTCATGATGACGGCTTTCAAGGGTACTCCATTTTTATGACTGTTTATGCTCAAGTGTTCTGGCATTGACGTGCTAAAGAGGACCTGGTACAAAGAAAGTCCTAAGCACGTGTACATCATTTGTGACCATAGAAAGTGTTTGACTCAAACTAAGCTGCTGAATATTGATTGAAAAAGAACGGGAAAGCAACGTGGAGCGGTGCGCTTTTGCGCTGAGCAGGTAGCGAACAGTAGACTTTTAACTGGAAAATAGACCGGCGCTCAGCAGTTAAAGTAAAGGCTCAAATGTTGAGGTCTACCTACGTTAGTATACCTTATGTTAGCCCATGTACGCGTAACAACCAATTAACTCTGACCTCAAATCACTTCTCACAACGCACCGATGATGCTAACCGGACTGGTAATGAGACGTTTACAACCAAAATGCCCGGCTCCGCCAACAAACCAAAGGCCGTCATCGCAAGATGAACTACCAATATTTCCTTTCATAAGACTAGACCCATCTTAAATTACATAGGCATCAACCCATATCTGACAGATAAAGTAACAAAGGGCGTTTAGCAGTTTCTCCTGCGTTCACCAGCCCACGCGCCCACCTCAGACGGCACCAGACCGACGAGCCGTTAGGTTTGACTCTCAAATGGAGAGCGGTCAGCAGCCTTGCGGCAAGAAGTAACATTTGACCAAGCGTCCTTGTTCAATAAAGTTCTCGTGCAAGCATCATTTACGCTGTAGACCAAGAGTACAGTAGCGGGTTCTACTGTGATAAACCTCCATGTGGCTTCATTATACCTATTCCCAGTACAGCTCTATGCTTTCTTCTGGGAACAAAAATCTGATCACATGATCAGCAATATTTGTTCCCGGAAGAAGAACCTTTGCCAGAATGCAGCAAATTCCAGGAGGTTTGTGTGCAGGAGGAGAGATATCAAAGCACGCGAGATCATCAGTCATTTGAGGTCATCGGATTGTGACCATTTACCGGGAACCGGTACCAAAACAGCAATAAATGTTGTTAACATGGGTGTGGCCACATAAGGTCAAGAATGTCGTATGTGCGTAGGGTAACATGTGACTAGTTACAATAGATCACATGAGTTAAGTCGCGGACGCTCGGAAAACGTAGGGTAAAACTTGATGAGCTTATACTTAATTGTGGTTGATCAAGTGGCTTCTGGTTTTTCGCCAAACTCCGAGATTCTAAGCTGTCTATATTTCGAATTGTATGTAGTTGACGTATCTTGCATGACTTTAACAACGCCCCAGGTGCACCGCATGAGAAGATGAGTACTAGTTGTGCGCTGAACATCACACAATGAGGAGTAGTCCTTTTATGCAGTGAGTGGAAAGTCGAATTTTATGGCCTTGTTGATGTACATCCTGGAGTGCTGTTACTATGAGGATCTTGAACAGTATGGAAGAAAATTGAGGCGGCCTGTTAATAAACTGAGTGTCAAGTCGTTCCTTGTGTGATCATACCTGCCCGCCAGGGACTCTCGAGGAGGGCTGATAAACCCTCCAACCCAGGCTGAGTGGCAACAGCAAAAGACTTTCTAAATGGTTTATCCATGGAAGATCACCACAGATGTAGCCAGGAACGTAATGAACTACGAGGAGGTCTTCAACATTTAATTACTCATAAACCGTACCGTCCTGGAGGTACGTTGAGAGGACTTCCTTATTTATCCATCCGTCCTCGAGATACGTCGTAACCACCCGCGTAAGATAAAAAACCGAAAATATGGGTGTCAAATTTGGAAAAACTTCTGACGGCCACTACACCAGGAGCTGGCGATTCAGGACGGCCTACACCATAACAGTTTATTTCACCGAAATTCAAACTTTGTGAAACGTTAAAATGACACCAATTTTCCCGATGGAACCTCAGTTGAAAAGGCCTTACCACAAAGCGCTGTAATGGTCGTGTTCTCTTCATGGACGTAACTTCGAACCACGGCCTCTTCCATCAACTTTTTAACCTGTAAAACAGAACAAATAATTTTCCTAATTGTAACATATTAGTATACATCACGGGAAATGTCTTTTGAAATAAGATGCATCATAAACGGGAGATTTGGTTGAGTCTCTCGTGAAAACCAAATTGATTTGCAAATGAGTGTATTTCTTGAATATGTAAGGTATTTTGGTGTTCTCTTAGTGTTTCGGTCACCATCTGTATCCATTGTCATTGGTCGTTGTGATGTGTCAGTGTTGAAGGGGTGGGCAGTACTTCACCGTTGGTGTGATTTTGGACTCGGTTGTTCAAATACCCCAACATGTGAGGGTCCAAAGCCACCAGTTTGTCAAGGTTTGTTTTGTTCAAACCGTTCTCACAATGCTAAGTAGGTGGGCCTTGCTAGAATCAATCTTCTCCGCTCCAGGATGACCAGAGCATTACGGGCCTAACACAGCATTAAACGTGGTAAACCAATCCTTTCTGTCGTTGAGGCGCAGTGTTCCACATACAGCGATGGACAGTTGATTGGGACGAGCAAAGCAGCTCATGGAGCATTCAGCAGAGGACTGACGATCAGCATAGTGTGTTAGTAAGCGTTGTTTTAAAAAAACAACGAGTTGCGTCATTATCAGGTTCACGTTTTGAGATCGAAATAAACCGCCTAGATCTCCTGATGTAACTGAACATGGCCCTGTCCAGTTCTGCAAAGTCTGCCAGATACAAATATCAGTAGGCGGTCTTCTCATTCTAAAACATGACCCGCCGGAGATGGATGGCGTTAGTGGCGGGCATGAAATGCAATTATGGTGGACTTCTTCGTTGATCAACATTTTTCCCAGGATATTGAGAATCCGTCTGAGGCAACGCTGATTTCAATCCCGCCATCTGAAGGACTTAATTCAAAGCACTAACGACAAAGCGAGTTCATAAATGTCTCTCGTAGATGTGGCTTCAGGAGGCCGAGCAAGAGCAGGTCTGCATTAGTCACCTGTTGCCAAATCACTCGAAGTTGGAATGACAGCTGGACTAGCACTATGGAACCAACGGAACATGCGTTTGCAGCTGTGGGTTAACCTATGGAAGGACCGCTATTTAGGAACAATAAAATACATGTCACCGAATCGGATTTACCACAGAAATTGGAACGCCCAACCGACCAACATTTGACACAAAATAACCTGTAGTTCCGCGAATGAACATAAAGTCCTCTGACGTGCACCTATTTCGAAAATCAACGACTCTATAGCACTAATGAAATTCACTAAATTGCCAAACGAACAGTAAGATCGCTTCTCCAAATGGTCTGGACAGCCCCGACTAACTGATAAAGCAAGCAGAGATTTGATGGACCACAACATCTGAGAGGTTGGCTGCTATGTCTGGTAAACGGTTGCTCAGTTTTTCGTCCCAAAACACTGCATGATTCAAATTGTCGCTTCTTGCCACCATAACGGAGTCCGTATATGTGTTGAAATGTGTTGGGATATTGGTAGCTCGGGTGTATTGGTTGGTAATTGATCAGGTGGCTGTTGATCTATTCGCCGAGCTTGGCAATTGATTTTCAAACGTTTCGTCACCATTCGAGGAGACATCTTCAGTGCGCTGTTGGTTGGGTTGGAGTCTGTATATAAATAAAAGCACTGAAATTCCACCACGAGTTTCAGCTACAGTGTCAGTGACGCGTCGAATTTAATCACAGTGAGCTCCAGCCGAATGAAAAGTAACAGCATCGAGGAGAGACATTTAGCACTGAGAAGATTGGTTAGCCTCGGTAATGAATCGATATCTCAGCCGCATGTCTGGTCATCAGGTTTGTATTTAGCAGCTTGAACCTGTAGTAAGGGAAAGACTGTCACATATCTTTCACTTCGAAGCAGTCGCTAACAAGTAAAACTTAACGCACTGGGCTTCCTCCTCATGCTGAAGCACAGCCAATTCAGGTTTTGTGTACTCCCTAAAAAACGGACACTCAGGGTATACGAGGCTATTTAAGAGTGCATGGGCTTCAGTACAGATGGAACTGATGTCATGCACCATAGTTAAAAGTGCTCTGTGTAATCTGTCATGTGTCTGGTACTGGAACAAACATCCAAGAATTCAAGATTTGATGGTGCCATCGAAAAGATGCAAGGAAGGGAGGGATGAATGCCGATAATTGTATTAAATTGTCGCAGCCAGCCACATCAAGTCAAGCACGTAAACATACAAAAAGCGGTCGTCCAAGTTCTCTTCCTAAAAATAGTTGTGTAGTGTTGTCTCCCTTTCGGAACGATCATCGAAAAGACTGCCGAAATTGGTATCTAATAAGACATTGTTTAATAGTAAAATATGCTTAAATGGATCGGCTCGTATCGAGTGTTCCCCTTAGAAGAGGGTTTCGAAGAATACGCTTTACGTAGAGGGACCAGAAAATGAGGCCAATTCTCTCAGGAGATGAAGTTAGTTACCAGCACGTTTGTATACTTTTACAGACTACAATTACAATTGTAAACAAGCTTCGCTAATTCACAGGCTACCCATGAATAAAGCGATTTGGTAGAAGACGAAGCGAGCTTCAAAACTTGGTCAGCAGGCAAGAAAGAAGAGCCAAACTGTAGATCCCAGACACTTAGTTAAACAAAAATGGTGAAATATGCACTCCGCAGTGTTCAACAAAAGCTAATCCCATTCAGTCAAAAGGTCACACAAAGTGTCACAGACGATTCCCTACCACTTGTCTTCAACAGTGACCCGTTTGCTCCCGATAAATCACTGAAAGGAAATCCAAAGGTTTGTTTATCTCGGGCGATCGCGTGTCTAATAGATTGGCACAGAAAACACTGGTTTACGCATGTACGTATGTGTTCAAGTCGAACACGATCCTAGCCGATCCTGACAGTTAGCACTGCGTATAAATCTTGTACGGTCCATTCTGATAATGATGCAGAGCAGATTAATATAGTAAAAATGCTAAGTAATTTACTCAAGTCTACCTAGAAGTCAACGATACTGGCTACTAAAGCAGGCACAGTTCTATCAATTGCCATACGATTGACCGAAACCATCTTAATTGGAAGTACTTCTATCTAAAGCTGAAGTCGCGAGAAAACATATGAAACAAGATTCATAAGAAAATAAGTCTTGATTTACGGAACAAGCATAACTGGTAACTTCTCCGGGACACCTGATTATGGTGGAGACTAACGATTAATCCTAGAGTTTGTCATTTTTCTTATGGATTAAATCAAGAGTGTTGAAGCCTATTGGAAATCGTTAGAACTGGTGGGCGGGTCACATTGCGTAACGGCCCATCAATAATTTGTCCTTACCGCCGAACCTATACACCTATAAAAAACAATGAATGATCCATTTCAGTACAGAGCAGGTGCGATTGTTTGTGAAATTTGGAGGGCAAATAGAGGTAGTAGCTCTGAGGAAAGCAACTCTACGGTTAAAGACGCAGAGAAAACGTGTGGCTTACGTTTGGTAAAGGACGTCTTTTCACCCCGTGATAAACCTGATACTGAGATTTATGACCCTGATGAAGAAGTGGAAATCAGTCAAAACGTCCCTGGGTATAGTCCAGCTAATCAGCAAACAGTGCTCTCCAACTTTAAACGCCAACTTGAAAGATGGGCATCCAACAACCAGGTATAGAATCATCATTAACGAAAACTTCTACGGTGATATTCCTTGAAACGTGTACTCGAAAAATTCATTAATAAGTATGTACTAACTAGCCACGCTTCAGTCTTTCTAATAGAACTGTTTAAGTCAAACAAGCTGGAAGGCTAATAACAGCAGGACTGTTGCTTCAAACTAAGAACACGCACACGTACTGAGAACCGCCGATTGTCAGTCATTCTCTGCAACTACATCCTGATAGACATGTAATGAGAATACCAGGTGACTCACTGCAACCAGTTACTAGTGCTTCAGACTGCAGTCTGCTCAGTGAGTGCTACAGTTTAGGTATACACCTATTTACATAGGTTTTCCTTATCTGCACCTTCAGAGCGTTCAAAACCAAATGTCGTTCTGCTAGAAGAATCCCAAAAAAACGGGTTGACGGATGAACCTGATGAACACTTTGCTCCCAAGTGTGTGTCCAAGTTTTTGGGACCCCAGCGGCTGCATGTGGTTGTTTAGATTGATTATTATTACTCGGTTCAGGAAGAAAGTGAAGACGTTCGAAGTATGTTGTCCAAGCTGGATCTGTGTCTGAGACAAATATAAAATCATCGGTCTTTTGAACGTGGCACTCACTGTCATTCTGATTTGGCCCCGATAGCAGAATGTCAAATAAGGGCGTCCATCTAGTGCTGTATACACAATGTGACGAAAGCAGAAATGAGAAAATCACTCGTGTGGGCACAAATTGTAGGTTCCTACAAGTCCATCACTTTTGCTTTAAGATGACTTCAGTGGGTATGAAACGCCCAGCCGTGAGTGTGAATTCAAGTGTTTTGGTGAACGTAGCCTATGTAGGACTACCAAGAGAGGGGGAGGCAAACAACCGGATAGGAGGATGAATATCACACTTCTAACTGGTGGGTGCACTAATAGGCCCCAACACGAAAAGGCTACCGAAATTCACTGGTCTTCGTTGTCTTTATTCTTTGTTTTTCGGGGTAAGGAGGGGTCAGCGTGTTCATCTGCCTATTCCAGTTTGTTAAGAGTGTCTCTGTTTGAAGTATAAGCTGGTTCCGGCAACTGAGCTGTGAATTGGACGGCGGCCATAAGTTTGTTGTATGCAATTTGGCGCGCAGCCACAAAACAAGACTACAGACGATTAACACCTCGAGTATGTGGGTTTTGACGAGCGTAGTACTGAAGTACCGTAATCTGGAGTCATCGACTGCGTGATCGGGTAGGGACGTACACTGTTCCCTGCAACGTATGTGGAGGCGTCCCAGAGTCTCCACCATAGAAGGAACCAACCACCTGTGTCACTGAAATTTTCGCTTGGTGCTTTTAAGCACAATTCCTAGATCATTGTCAGATCGACGTGTAAACCATTAATCAGCGCAAATTAATGGAGCA